TCAAGATAAAATTATATTTTTTAACGGTTATATTAATAGATATCAATGAAAATGAGTTATGTGTTATACGTGCACAAATGTCATAAGATGTAAGAATAATATTCTAAATGTGAAGAAGTCTAAATGATTAAATGACAAGTATGAGGGGATCTAGGTATAATTTATCAATTTAGTTTTAGGTGCACATTGATACAAATTTTTATCTTTGAGGGTGCAAATTGAGATTTTTTATCTTTGGGTGCACATTGATATAAATTTCTATATTTAAGGGTGCAAATTGAGATTTTTGATCTTTGGGGGTACACATTGATACAAATTTCTATCTTTGAGGGTATAAATTGAGATTTTTAATATTTGAAGGTGTAAATTGAGATTCGAACAATCTTTCAGGGTACAAAATGAGATTAACCCAATAGAATATTACAATTTTCACATGTTGCCTTGTAATTGAATGAAAAAAAAAGGATATGATATTGAAACATTAGAAATAATTCTGTGTTTAAAGACACTCTTTAATACCAAAGATTGTGCATTGATTGTGTAATATTTATATTTTAAATAATATTTTTTTAATTATATAATTCAAAATTAAAATGAATATAGAGAAAATAAAAGCGAGAAAGAGAGAGAAGAGAGATGTAGTGGGGTTGTCTGACATTAGAGGTTAATTTTATACCATTAGATTAAAAATGGGGTTAATCTCAACTATTCTTGTGCTTTTATATATGTACAATTTAAAATTACTAGTTGTAATATTATATAGACTACATATTTGAAAACGCTCTACAATACAAAACATATAGCCTTGATTGTGCAATTTTTATAATTTAAAAAGTAATTTTTTTTTATTTTTCTTTTCTTTAATTACACTATTAAAATTAAAGTGAATAGATAGAAAAATAAGAGAGAAGAAGTAAGTGTGGATTAGTCAGTTGTCCGCCATTGAGGATTATGTTGATTGAATTGTCTGATAATAGGAGTCCTGCAATGAAAATGATATTTTTGAGCAAAAAAAAAAAATTCTTATGAATTTTGTAATATTGAATCAAAGTAGATGAAAATTAAATTAATTTTAATAATTGTAATTTTATAAATTAAAATTTTAGTTTTTTTTAAGAAATATTAAATATTTTATTTTTTCCCCACCCCCGACTTTCCTTTTTAAACATTCATTGCGTGCTTATGAAAAAAAGTTGAGATTGTTAGAGAGCCCATGCTCTGACGATCAAAAGTGCTTTTCTTTCTGGAAAGTGCTTATTTCAGGGGCCGGCCATAGCATGAAGATGCTGCGTATAAGCAAGGGAGACACTTATTGTTAGTTAGGTCTAATGAGGTAAGTGGGATTGATTGACGGTCAGTTGTGTCATCCAAGAACAGGAATCAATAGCTTGTCTAAAGAATATGAATCTAGAGTGATGAAAATACGTTACAAATAACCTCTTTGAAATTTTGTATGAGACTACTTATCATTTATCTATCGTAGTTTTCTCCTGTATTAGAGAGATATATAAATTGGGTAAATATGATCTTTCACTCAACAACTTGATATGATCTATGAGCTCATTTTCTCAGCTACTTATCTTTAGGTATGGAAGATGAACTTTTAAATCTTTTAACATTTTTGGTTCTTTCTCCCACTCCAACCTTTATCCTACAAAGTATCCATACCAAATGTTTTAGGATATTATGAAATTTGGCACCAAACATGCCATATGCCCCATATGCTCATCTATGTTGGAAATTTTTCAAACGTGCCCCAATCTCTTTCTAACCATTTTTTTTTTGTTCAACGGTTAGGGGTATTCAGATCAATTTATGTACACGTTGACTAATCTTCTCTCTTATGAGAATTCATGAAAGATAATCCCTCATGATCTGGTCTTAAAGAGTTGTCAAGTTTTAAATTTCAGGACATCTGAATATACAGTTTATCTGAGTTTACGATTTATTCTTGTTACCACTCGAACTACCCATTGAGGTTTCTAGCCACTTTTATAAATGCTTCTATTGACTTCCAAGATTTCTCACATCCCTAGCTGATTAATTCAGGAAATTGCTTGAGACTCCCATTTTGATTATGCTATCTTTCTAAATATATCTTACTTGATTTTCAATTTTTTCGTAGTTATTTTTGGGGAGTGCTATTCATACTCCATATTTCATGTGAAACATTTGAGATAACTTATTAGAGAATCAACTTAAGTGTTTTGAATATAGTTATAGAATACTTAACAATTGTAATGGTACGAGTTAAGGTATGACGAAATTAACTTTGAATAAAATCACAAAAAAAAAAAAGATATGATGCTTTCAGTTTAGCGGATAAAAAAAAGGATTTTTATTCAGTTCAAACAAAAAAGAAAAAGTGATTTCTAGATAAGAACATAATGCTTGTAGCCGACCTCAATAAATACTTTATTTAGTTGAGTTGAGACACAAGACTTTATTTAGTTGAGTTGAGACTCAAGATTTCTCATCTCTGTATGCTATTTGCATTTGACTGACAACTCTTCATCCAAATACATTTTCCCCTCTTGACCTAATTTCTAGATCCGCCCATACTTATAAGGGGTGGAATGAACCTAGGCTCAAATCCACAACATTGATATATCTCATCTACACCTGCGAGGGATGAAATTCCACAATTGATTTGTACCACAAAAAACAGGTCAGAAGAGTATTGAAAAGTGTTTTTAATATACTTTTCTCGATACTTAAGTCAATAAAGATACAAATAAAGAAAGACGAAATCATTGGGTCCCACCAAAGCCATTGGGTGCACTTGGTCAAACCCCACTACATAAAGGTCCACCTACAAATTAATTATGTCAGGTAAGCAAAATGATTGTATAGAATGAAACTCTCAATTAATTTTGCTAACAATGTGGCGAACTAAACAATAAAGATGTGCACCTCAGCACCATAAGAATGTTAAATGTACAATGTCAAGAGAGTTGTGTTCGACTCTTGATCCTTTGATGTAGAATAGAGGTCGTGTTTCTCAAAACGAAAGTGTTTCATATAAAAACGATGTCATTTTGAGGAACAACATCCTTGTTGTTCCTCAATTAAGAGTAGAGAATCCAAATTCATCATGTTCTAATACCATAATCCTCTAAAATTCAGAATTAATATTAAATGATTTATGAGAATTAAGGAAAAATTAACTTATGGTGGTTTGAACATATTTATCAATGACTTACCATAGCACCAATTAAAAAAAGACTGATATGATAATTATTAACGATATTCAAAGAAGTATGGAAAAATCAAATTTGACTTTAAATGATATTGTGAAGAAAAATAAGATAACTTATGTTTAATAGAAAATATGTCCTTTAATGGAACACAAGGACTATGATTTATGTAACCTATTTCAAAAATATTGAGATAATACTTTGTCGGGTTGAGTATTAAACAATTAACGAGAATAACTATTTTGCATAAAAATAACAATAATCTTCATCTTTTTAAATTTATTAGTATTTTTTTTTGTTCTCCCTAAAACTACCTACTATACAATTTGAAATTTTATTTGATGCATAGGACGGGAAGAAAAAAAAAGAAAAAGAAAAATGCTATTTAGACCTAAAATTTTGATTTTATTTGTTGACCTAATCAATCACAACTATTGAATTCAGGGGGGAGCTAAAAAAATACTTTAGGGTGAATACATTAATAAATTTTAATTTTTTTTATCAATGTTATAGACTTAATTCTATGTAATTGTTATTTTAATAGTAAATTTTAATGTTAAATGAAGTTTACTTTCAATCAAAGGGGTACATTAAATTATGTCATCAAATTAGATCTAACTAGCATTTTTAATTTTTTTTCAATTGACCACATAAATTCTTAAATTCATATTTATTATAATTATTCGTAAAAATTCATTAAACATAAATGGTTAAAAAATGACTTGCATGGAATGAACAAACAAAAAATAAAAGTAAATTAATTAAAACTTCGTATGAGACTAATTATTATCAGTTTACATTGAATCTAATTATTATTTATCATTTAAAAGAATTACAAATTAATGATATCAATAAATACTTTTTTTTATATACAAAATGGTAACAACAGTCTTTGATTTATTACCCTGTAATTTATTACATGATGACGCTTATTTCTATACAATAACAAAATAATCCTATAATTTAGAAAAATGTCTGCGATATGTCTAAAAAATATTCAAACATGTTTGTGTCTAAAAATTTAAGAATAATAGTAATTGCATCTAATTCGAAATTTAATTTTATATCTTGACCAAAAAAAATTCAAAATTTAATTTGTAGGAACCCAATGGTTTGTGACCATTGAATGAATAGCAGACGTTATTAATTTTAGGGATTCACTATTAGATTTAATATTATAATATATTAGTTATAATAATATTATTTAAAAATTAATTATTATTTAAGTAGCCGTCTATTTTAATCGATATCACAATAATAAAATGGACATAATTAAATGTGTCTAAATTTTATTTTAAAAAATATATATTTAATGTCAAAAAAAAAAAAAATTGAGGGGGCATGTGCCCACCCTGGTCCAAGGGTGGCTTCCCCCTGATTGAATTAGTAGTGGATTCTAATGAGACTTATAATTAAACAAACAACAACGATTAATTAGGTCAGTATATCATATAAATATTTTAAATCTCAATAAAATTGTTCAAAAACAAACTAATTTATTTTAGATAGTGAAAATAAAGATATGATATGTATAAAGAAAAAAAAAGAATTATTTTAACATGTTATTTTATCATATCAACATTTATTTACTTTCTTTTTTTTTTCTTCTTATTTTTGGATTAGTCTTAACATTATTAACAATTATTACTTGGTCAAACCACAGGGGTAATTTATAATTATAATTTATCCTTATTTTTATCACTAAATTTGTTCCATTGGTCCCCACCAACCCATTCCTTCCCACCTTATAAGTTATCTTTTAAGCAGACAACAAAGCATATGGTATTCTTACCCAACAAGAAGATGAGGCCTGCTAGCTTCTCTCTATTCCTCTTCTTCTTGCTCTTCATCCATGGCACCAAAGCTAAGAATCTCATCCATGAAACCTGCAGAACATGTGCCCAAAGTGACCCAAACATAAACTACACCTTCTGTGCATCATCCCTTCAAGCAGCTCCGGCGAGCCGGCGTGCCAGTGTCCGGGGACTCGGGTCGATCTCAATCACTCTCATTGAACACAACGTGACTGACACAAGGCATTTTATCAAACATTTGATGGGCATGAAATTGGATTCGTATGTAAAGGAATGTTTGAGTGATTGCTTTGATCTTTATACAGACGCTATAGATTCAGTACAAAAGGCCAGGGAACAGTACAATTCTAAGCAGTACGATGAAGCTAACGTAGTGATAAGTACAGTTTTGGACGCTACAAGTACTTGTGAAGGTGGGTTTACGGAGAAGAAAGGGTTAGTTTCACCATTGACGGAGAGGAATAACGATACGTTTCAGTTATCCGCCATTGCTCTTTCTATTATGCATATGGTGCAGACTGGGTAACAGTGATACTTATCGAACCACATCTCGTCTAATATATTTTTTTATAAAATCTTTTCGACAGTACATCGATTGATTTGAAGCCTCCCACGTATATCATCGTGCGTCCTAGTTGAAACTACGGAAAAGTGTATCGAAGAAAATATAAATTCGACACAAGTGTTTATTTATTATACTTGTAATGACGATGGTTATTTGGATTGTTTATGAAACTCCTTGTGATTTTTTTAAACTGTTTGTTGAGTTGTTTATGTAACATTCGATTTGTCCAAGAAACTATAAGGGAAGGCAAAAGCAAACTAAAATTAGGTTGATAAGGGAAGGTTTTAATCTTTGTATTGGAGCAATCGCAATGAAAGAGTGACTTCTAATCTTTCTCTCTCTCTCACTCTCATACTATAGTTTAACTGAAAACTGATGTTCAAATCCGTGGAATGATTTCAAATGACAAAATTTTAGTAGTTAATATATCAAGATACTTAGTTCGAGTCTTGCAATAGACACTTTGATTAACCTAATGGGCACAATTTATATAGATTTTAACATCTCGAGTTTACGCATAAGTCACAAATCTAAAAAACATGTGATTGAGACGGGAAGTTCCAGAGAGAGAGAGAGAGAGTTTTACTGGTACCCACCTTTGCTTGAGAAGCAAATTGTGGTAGGTATCTGCTTACATCTGGATTTAGATTGAAAGCTATTAGATAAAATTGTAATAGACGTTTTTTTTTAAGCTAATCTACTCAATTTATGCAATTGAAGCATCTTGGATTTACGTAGTAGTCACAAATTTTAAAAGCAGGTGATTGAGATGAGAAAAAACATTGGTGTATTACTATTATAATAAATCACTACTATAACGAAGATTACTGTGTCTAGACTGCGAGAAGAAAGAAAAAAAATTCAAAGACGATAAGAGAGTCGTCCAAAAAGAGATATAAAACAGTGTTTTCAACAAGGATAGAGGTGAGATTTACCCCCAATGTGTTAAAAGTTTTGTGGCCGTCCACGCTGAAACTTCGATGGAAGTCTAAGGCTCTAAATAACAGAAAAAACAAACTATACACAACAAAAATTTAGAAATGTTTGTGTTTGGGAACTAGGAAAAATTTCCAAAATATTATGAGACTACAGATGACAAATGCAAGAAGCATGAGGGATGATGTTAATATTCTAATCTTTGAATAAGCCTAGCTCCAACTGTACTCAACCAAATCTCATCTGGGCCATTGGATCCTTTCAAAAGGATTTCGATACCCCATAGGTTCATCATATTAAATTTATTTTAAAAAAAATCATAGTTACATCGGGATTTAAAAGAGATAAGTGTTTGACAAATAATATTCCTATTTGAGAAATACTAGTTCTTGGACTCGAACCCTGAGACAAGGAAATAAATGGCAAAAACAAAAATTGTTGCAGCCCTAACTCACTTTCTATAGACGAACCTTGCACAGAAACTCTTAAGTTTTCACTGTATTGGATTCTCACCCATGTTTACGTTATTTAAACCGACATTTTTGTTTCCGCTTCGTCCACTACCGCAGGTAGAACGCTCACCAGTAAGTTGGTGCCATGTCAACCCAAAACCCAGTTAAAAGTTGTTTGATTGATTGAGAAATGCATCATCTTTTATTTAAGCTTAAAATAAATTGCTTTGTTTTTTTTTTAAAAAAAAAAAAACACATAAACACTCTTTTATGTCTAATAAATAAACTTAGTTGTGCACGTTTCAACCCATAAAACAATAAATTCACCATTTAACACTACAAATTAACTTGGAATCTATTCCCAGAGCCACTATCTAATTTTGATTCACTATTTTGTTCTTATAAAAAATTATATATGCTTAAACATCCTTTTGTATTTAAATATGCACATTACCATTATATCCCTTTATACTTAAATAACAAACTAACCTACAGCATATCAAGTAAATTTTTATCTTCACAAAACTTTTAGATGATCATGTTACTCTTAACATGATATATAAAAATATTATTTTTTTTTCAAAATTCTAATATTAATAAACAACGACAATTTTATTGAATATCATTTTTTTTTGAACCGAATGCATGTGCATGTAGGTGCTCGCTCCGTTCATAAAACTGTTATACCTCTTGGGGTCCAATTGAATATTATTTCAGGTGCTAAAAAATTGATATATGTATATTTTTTTATTCATCCACAATACAAACAATACAAACAATTTAAGTGTGATAAACATAAGATAATATTTAATTTAACTACATAATTAAATTTTTATGTATTTTATTAAATATTTTAATGAAAACGTATAATGCATTGCTAGTATATATAAGAAGAACCTTAGAAGCACCAAAACTCATTCTTCCACCATTACAAACTCTGTCTAGGGGAGAGAGAAAGATGAGGTATTTCTTCTTCTTTCTACTCTCTCTCCTCTCTCCATCTCACAACAGCCCGAAATCTAATCTACGAAACATGTAGCTCAGCTTCTCGGGACAATCAAAACGTGAACTATCAGTTCTGTAAAACCTCTCTCCTATCTGCCCCGACAGCCCAGCGCACGAGCATCCAAAAACTCAGGATGTTCTCGATCACCTTAATTCAAAAAAAATATGAAGGAGGACATAACCTATATGACCAAACTATTAAAAAAGAAGGGTTTGAACAAGAGTGTCAAGAACTCCTTAACTGCATGCTCTGATCTCTATTCTCAAACCCTAGACGATCCCAGCGACGCGGTTTTGAGCTACAAATCGAAGAATTTCTATGAGGTTAATCAGGATATTAGTGCAGCCAGTACTGCTGCTGCTAGCTGTGAAGATGGGTACAAGGAAAGAGGTGTGGCGTCTCCATTAACACAGAGAAATGATAAGATGGTTCAGTTGTCTGCTATAGGACTGAACATTGTCAATTTATATGCTAGAGTACAGTGATTTGATTAATATGAGAAATAAAGAAGTTGAAACACAAATGGTTTCAGAATCCAAGTAACATTGAACATTAGAAATGTTCTTTACTGGTTGTTTTACACATTTCTGGATTTTATATCACGAAATAGGACATTTTGTTGATCAGATTAAATGTTTCATAGATGGCATAAATCAGTTTAATGTCTCGTGGGTACGAAGATCCGGAAATAGTGTGGCTTATACGTTAACCAGATATGTTACTTCATATTCTCAATGTATTGTATGGAGAGATGAAACACGAGATTTCTTGGTTCCTACCCTCCAAGATGATATTTCTGTTTCTTAATCAATGAAATAATCTTCATTTCGTATCAAAAATAACAAAAAAAATGGAATGTTGCATTGAAGTGATAAAAAGTTGGATGCAAGTTATAAAATCTTTTTGAACTCACGTTCAATCCAAACCCAACGTTTGACTCTAACTCTTCGACCCGAGTATTATTTAACTTGGAATTTTTGACGGAATTACACAAGACGGATTGAAATTCAAGTTCAATTGTTTGATTCGATTGTGGGGTTTCACTATTTGAGCTGAAATTCAAGTTTCACCACACCCGGGTTGGTTTCCCAAAATGCAAAACCTAATTTAGTAGTGTCAAAATATGATACAAACACAACATGAAATTAAAAAATCTGAGTCTTACTTTAGTCACCCGTTTTATAAACGAGTGAACCCGATATGACACGATTAATAAATGAATCGGATATGAGTGAAGTCAATTAAAAGAAATACTCGACATAACTTGTTCATATACTAGTTATACATGATTCATATAAAATACGAAATTGATACGACACGAATAATAATGCTCTATGTGGTAGAAATGATGGAAAGTTAGAAGGATAAATAAAACATCATGTTTGGTAAGTAAGAAAAATAGGAAAGATGAAAAAGTTGATGAATTAATTTTCCTTCCACCTTACCAAAATCAATCCCTCCGAAATAGGAAGGAAAATGGATAGAAAGTTAATTATTTGTGTTGAGATGTATTTTATTTGTCTATATATTATGTGTATATTAATTTCATATAAAAATACAATGATAGAATATGTATTTTTATTTATATATATATATTAAAAAAATAAAAAATTTAAATTAAAAAAAAATATTTTTTCATCTTAACTAGGGATAAAAATTTTTGACTCAACATGATAACGCTACTCGAATTCAATACAAATTTTATGACACGAACTTGAAAATGACCTAACACACGAACAAGATTTATAAAAAACTCATAATTTTATAACTCAATACGAATTTGACAAAACACGACTCGATTGTCACCCCTAATTTTAGCCAGCACAAAAAAAAAAAAATAGTTATTAGTTATTTTTTTTCATTCATCCAACCAAACACAAATGAAGCAAAGTGTATTATTTCTACTTTTCATCTTTGAACAATAGAGAGTGTATCCCTCCTATTTTTCATCCTTCCTATTTTCAATCCTTCCTACTAAACGGAGCATAAATCAATTAGGTAAAGGTGAAGTACTTTTTTGACACGAACCTGCTAAAACGTGATACAAATTTGTCTTATTCAACACAATTAAAAAACCTAACCAAACCCAATAGTACTTGAGTTTAAATCCAATAGGATTTCTTTTGGTTCAAACACAATTCAAGTGCTCGAAATCTTCGTTCAAGTACTAATTCTTTTTAAGTTGGACTCGGTTTCACCCGTCTAAGTTACACTCTATTTCGGGTTATCTTACTTATTCCAGCATCAAAATTAAATATCCCAACCAGAAATTTTAATCTACACAATTAAAGAAAAAAATCAGATGCAACTCATAATAATTTCTTATTCTTTTTTTTTCTATTCAAAACAAAATATATACATATATATCTTGAGATCTACTTTAGTAAAGTGAGTTCTACTTGAATTCATGATAGATGATTTACTAATGAAAAAAAATAGAGAAATTATATTATACTTCACCACTTAGAGAATTAAAAACTACAATCAAACCTAATTAGCTAAGATGAAGTTAGAAGAATTAGCACCGACTAATTCTGATTTTTAGGAGAAATAAGTGTAAATAATCACGACTCAAAATATGCATGTATTCCCTTGTATAAATTCATCAAAAAAAGATGAACTGAAATTTCACATCTGTTGTGACAAAATGTTCAAGATTGATAAGTTCTCATTCATTCCTCTTGTCACACCCTAACTGACTTGGGTGCAAATGACCAGTCTTTGTGGCACCTTGCACCAAGGCATGTCATAAGTTGGAATCAAGGTGATGCGGCTAAGTGGTTCGACAGATTGGGGCGAACCAAGGCAGTATGAGAACACCCGGTTGAGCATGGCAACACGTGGTGGGCTCAATTGAAGCAATGTGGGTGCATAGCTTCGGATTGCATGGCATGAGTTGAACCCAACATGCACATTGGTTCGTGTAGCCAGGTTGACTACTGAATGTGGGCACTTGACTGGCACATGGCTGCAGAATGTGGGCACTAGACTGACACATGATTGTTCAATGCATGTGACCAGGAGGATGTGGGCGATTATGATGCTGAGAGACAGTCAAGGCAGTTGTTGAGGCAATTCTGGGCGTCCCTAGTCTAAATCCAGTCTAGATGCATGCTGATAAAGGGCAATTACACAACAGTTACTGGAAGTGGTGGAACTGCCTGCCAGTGTCCCACGGAGACCAAGTCTGCTAGCCAGTATGCTCTGGAATAGCAAAAACGTGTGTAACTACCCCTTGGCAGATAGGGGTGTCATCTGTCTTACTCTTGTATAAATAGGGGTGCTTAAGCATTCTGAGGAGGTAGAGAGTGTTCTGGCTTTGAGAGTCCTTGTAAATTGTTGAGTTCAATATATTAGGTTTGAGAGTTTTGTCCCAGTAAATTCGTGTGTGCCTTCTGTGTGAGTTTTTGTCCCTTATTCTTGAGTTTGAGTGTGGCTGGTTGCAGTAGCAACGCCTTCACAGGTAGCCTCGAAGGAAAAATGAAAGTTACCCTGTGACATTTGGTATCAAAGCGTGGTTTTGGCAACAAATCAACTATAGCTGGCAGAACGAATGCGGATCTGAGGGAAAGGGTGGCACGTTTGGAGGAATTGGTTGGTCCTCCACAATCCGGTGATGTTGTGGCTCTCTTTGTGCAACTTGAGTTGTTGTATCAACGGTTTGAAGAGATGCGGGTTGCACATGAACAACTTCAAAAGACTGAATCTGATCACTTCAGTCGAGTGAAGAACGAAGTTGTTGACGTGCTGGCTACGATCTCCACATGGACTGTTGATATGGGGGAAAGATTGAGTTCCCTCGAGACAGACGTTTTAGTGCTCAAGAAGGCACTGCAGAATGCCTCTTTGGCTTCTGGCAGTGAAAGCACTCAGAAAGCCAAAGTGCCTGACCCTAAGCCTTTCACAGGCAGTCGTAATGCTAAAGAACTCAAGAATTTTCTGTGGGATATGAGGCACTAGTTCAAAGCAGTCTGCACTTCGGATGTTGAGAAGGTAGATCTTACTAGCATGTACCTATCTGGTGATGCTAAATTATGGTGGCGAACACGTTTTGAGGACAAATCTCATCCTCCAATTATTACTTGGGAGTCTCTATCTGCTGAAATGAAGGAGCAATTCCTTTCCAGCAACACGGCTTGGCAAGCCCGTAATGCATTGAGAAACTTTGACATACAAGTACCGTGAGGGAATACGTGAACCAATTCTCGTCTCTGATGCTTGACATTAAAAATATGTCAGAGGAAGACAAGTTGTTCAACTTTATGTCTGGTCTCCAAACTTGGGCACAAGTAAAACTTCATCGGCAAGGGGTAAAGGATTTACCCGCTGCTATGTCCGCAGCAGATGCGTTGGTTGACTATAATTGCAGGCTAATCCTCCAGAGAAGGAGCCGAAAGGGAAAGCCAAGTTCCCTAAGAAGGACAAGCAGAAGAAAAAGGCTGAGAAGTTGACAATTCAGAAAAACCGTCTGACAAAACCTCTTCATCAAAGGGAGGTGTTGACTCAGGTTGTTTTATCTGTAATGACCCTCATCGTGCCAGAAATTGTCCTAAGAAGGAAAAGCTCAGTGCCCTCATGGCTGAGGAAACTAACTGTTCTGACGAACCAACACGAGTCAACCCATTACAACTCAATGCAATTCGCAAAGAGGAGACAGTGGAAAAGAGAGGGTTGATGTTTGTGCAGATTCGCTTGAACAATGTGACTGTCCAGACAATGGTTGATACAGGTGCAACCTATAATTTTGTTTCTGATCGGAAAGTACAGCGGCTTGGTCTAGCTTTGGTGAAAGATTCTAGCCAGATTAAAGCTGTGAATTCAAAGGCAAAACCAGTAGGCGGCGTCGCAAGAAAAGTCCCTTTAAAAGTTGGTGATTGGCAAGGATCATGTGATTTTATGGCAGTCCCTCTCGATAATTTTTAGGTAATCCTTGGACTGCAATTCCTTACAAAGGCAAAGGTGTCTGTTATGCCGCATTTACATGAGATGTTCGTGATGGATATGCCCAATCCCTGTTTTGTTCCCCTCACTAAGGTCAAGTTTTTGAGGGAAATGTTGTCTGCCTTGCAAGTAAAAGATGACTTGCAAAAGGGGGAAGTAACATACTTGGTTGTTCTATTTGAGGAAGTAGAGTCCAAAGTATTGCAAGTCTCTGAACCAGTGCAACAATTGTTGGTTGAGTTCAAGGACGTGGCACCTAAAGAATTGCCAACAAGATTACTGCCAAGACGGGAGATTGACCATGCCATTGAGTTGATTTCAGGGGCAAAAATCTCTGCCCAGGTTCCTTATCGAATGTCTCCGTCAGAGTTGGCAGAGCTAAGGAGACAGCTTGGGGGTTTATTGGACATTGGGTTCATTCAACCTTCCAAGGCACCCTATAGAGCCCCTGTTTTGTTTCAAAAAAAGAAGGATGGATCCTTACGGCTTTGTGTAAACTACAGAGCGCTCAACAAAGTCACTGTCAAGAACAACTATCCAGTGCCACTTGTCGACGAACTATTTGATAGATTAGGAAAGGCGATTTTCTTCACCAAGATGGATTTGTGGTTGGGATATCATCAAGTCAGAATTGCAGAGGGAGATGAGGCGAATACTACTTGTGTGACAAGGTACGGGTCATATGAGTTTTTAGTTATGCCTTTCGGCTTAACCAATGCCCCTGCTACATTCTGTAACTTGATGACCAATGTATTTCGAGAATACTTGGACCGTTTCATGGTGATTTATTTGGATGACATAATTGTTTATAGCCAGACTCTTGAGGAGCATGTTGAGCATCTTAGGTTGGCCTTAACAAAGTTAAGGAAAACCCAGTTGTATCTGAAACCAGAAAAATATGAGTTTACTCAAAAGGAAATTTCATTCCTTAGGCATATTATTTCTGCGGCGCGTGGTGAAGATGGACCCGAAGAAAGTTGAGGCCATTGCAGATTGGCCTGTCCCTACTAAGGTTACTGAACTGCGTTCTTTCCTTGGTTTGACAAACTATTATCGAAAATTCGTGAAGAATTATTCAAAGAAGGTCGCGGTGCTGACTGATCTTCTAAGAAAGGATAGGACATGGAACTGGTCCTACGAATGCCAGGAGGCATTTGATCGATTGAAGGCGGTGGTGACGTCTAGCCCAATTTTATGCTTACCTAACTTCGATTTATCTTTTGAAGTCCATAGAGACGCATCAGACTTTGCTCTTGGAGGGGTGCTGGTGCAGAATGGGCATCCGGTGGCATTTGAAAGTAGGAAGCTGAATGATACCGAGAGGCAGTATTCAGTACATGAGAAGGAAATGACAACAGTCATTCACTGCATCAATGCATGGATGCATTACTTGTTGGGGAAGCATTTCCTTGTGCTGACAGATAATGTGGCTACTAGTTGCTTCAATTCCATGAAGAAGCTGACACCAAAACAAGCAAGATGGCAGGACTTTCTTGCCCAGTTTCATTTCACGTTGCAGTACAAGCCTGACAGTACAAATCAGGTTACTGCACTTAGCCAGATTGCAGGAGACATACTGCAGAAAATTCAGGATCAGACAAAAGATGATCTAGTGACCAGCTTATTGTTGAAGCAGGTCCATGAAGGGGTGACTCGACAGTTTTAGGTAGAGGATGGTGTTCTCTACTCCAAAGGAAGGAGACCCTATGTGCCGAAGTCAGGCGGACTTCGACAGATGTTGCTGAAAGAAACTCATGATGCTCTGTGGTCGGGACATCTAGGGCAGCAACGGACTCTTGCCTTGTTAGCAGAAAGCTATTATTGGCCCCCGCATGGAAGTAGATGTGGAGCTGTATGTGCGCACTTGTTTGGTGTGCCAGCAAGACAAGATAGAGAGGAAGAAGGTGGCGGGTACTTTGGAACCCCTCCCTATTCTAAGCAGACCTTGGGAGAGCGTTTCCATGGACTTCATCAATGGCTTGCCTCAGGTGAACGATTTTACTTCGATATTTGTGGTTGTTGACATATTTTTGAAATATGCCACTTTTATTGCTGCCCCAAAAGTATGTACGGTGGAAGTTACTGCTCAGTTGTTCCTCAAGCATATTGTGAAGCTTTGGGGTCTTCCGCTGGACATAGTTAGCGACAGGGACACTAGGTTTACTGGCCGGTTCTGGACGACTTTATTTGAATTGTTGGGCACACAGCTCAACCTTTCCACCAGCAATCATCCGCAAACAGATGGGCAGACTGAGCGGGTTAATGTAATGCTGGAGGAATATCTCAGACACTATGTCACAATGAACCAAGACAATTGGGTGGATTTACTTGATGTAACTCAATTCAGTTATAACCTCCAACAGAGCTCTTCCACTGGAATGAGCCCATTTGAGTTAGCAACTGGCCAACAGCCTCTTACCCCGCATGAAGTTTTTAAGCAGAAGTCTCAAGGGAGATGTCCTGTAGCGTACCACTTTGCTCGGGCCAATCAAGAGTAGACCGACGAGACAAAAGACTATTTAACTAAGGCAGTGAAGAGGATGAAAAAGTGGGCAGACGAGAAGAGCTGGGCAGTAGAGTTCGAAGTGGGTGACAAAGTGATGCTGAAATTAATCCCACCAATCTGGAACAAGATCTCTCGAAAGTCGGCACACAAGGGACTAATCCAGCGTTATGACGACCCTTTCCTTATAACAATGAGGATTGACAAGTTGGCCTATAGGCTGGATCTTTCTAGTCGTCTCAAGCTTCATCCAGTTTTTTATGTTGCCTTCTTGAAGCCTTATATTGAGGACCCAGAGGACCCTCACAGATATGTTCGGCGTCGAGCTCCTCCAACAATCAGGAAACAATTCACAGAAATAACTGAAGATATCCTTGACCACAAGACTGAAGGAATGAGCAAGAAAAACAGAAGAACTCATTACCTAGTCAAGTGGAAAGGGAAAGCACCGGAGGAAGCCACTTGGGAGAAAGAGACGACATTGTGGCAGTTCGAGGATCTCATCAAGCAATACCATGTCTTCATTCCAACGGGGTCGTTGGATACTTTAGGTGGGGGTGGCTTATCACACCCTAACTGACTTGGGTGCAAATGGCCGGTCTTGGTGGCACATTGCACCAAGGCATGCCATAAGTTGGAATCAAGGTGATGCGGCTAAGTGGTTCGATAGATTGGGGTGAACCAAGACAGTATGAGAACACCCGATTGAGCATGGCAACACGTGGTGGGCTCAATTGAAACAATGTGGGTGCATAGCTTCGGATTGCATGACATGGGTTGAACCCAGCATGCACATTGGTTTGTGTAGCCAGGCTGACTATTGAATGTGGGCACTTGACTGGCACATGGCTGTTCAATGCATGTGACCAAGAGGATGTGGGCGGTTATGATGCTGAGAAACAGTCAAGGCAGTTGCTAAGGCAGTTCTGGGCGTCCCTAGTTTGAATCCAGTCTAGATGCATGCTGATGAAGGGCAGTTCCACAGCAGTTACTGAAAGTGGTGGAACTGCCTGCCAGGTGTCCCACGGAGACCAAGCCTGCTAGCCAGTATGCTATAGAATAGCAAAAACGTGTGTAACTACCCCTTGGCAGATGAGGGTGTCATCTACCTTACTCCTGTATAAATAGGAGTGCTTGAGCATTCTGAGGAGGTAAAGAGTGTTCTGGCTTTGAGAGTCCTTGTAAATTGTTGAGTTCAATATATAAGGTTTGAGAGTTTTGTCCCAGTAAATTCGTGTGTGCCTTCTGTGTGAGTTTCTGTCCCTTATTCTTGAGTTTGAGTGTAGCTGGTTTCAGTAGCAACGCCTTCACAGGTAGCCTCGAAGGAAAAACGAAAGTAACTCTGTGACACCTCTAAAGGTGAAACCCTTTTGGAGGTAATGCTTGGACTTAAGTTTGTTGGTCTTATTGAGCTCTTGCAACTGCAACATGATATAAGATAAAATATGTTCAAAATATGTAAGTATTATCTTGTGTGTATTCTCGTAAGATGCACGACATTTTCAATCTCTCTCATCCCAATTCTAGAATTTCTATTGCCACTGCCACTACCACCCCCACTCTCACCTTTTATTGCCACCTCGACCCTAGTATTTTTTGAATAAGGTAGGAGTAGTTACACAAGGCAAATAGAATAATTTAATTTGATAAGATCAATACACTCTTAAATTGAATGATATAGTATGTATTAAATATAGATTTAGATGAGAGAAAATGTGTGTGAGAGAGAGACGAGAAAGGGAGAGATGATGGGAAAAAACTTGGAATAGTTGAGAAATTTTAGGAATTAGTCTATTAAATATGAATTAAATTATTTATAAAGGGCCAATGCCATAAATTCAAATTGAATTTGACAATTTAAAAAATCAAAAACTCAAGAAAATTGGGATTAAATTTTGCGAGCTTAAGACCGAGCCTATCGAGTTCGTTTTTTTAAACGAGCATAAAAAATTGTTCAAATTTGACTTGTTTAAAACTCGAGCTGAGCTCAACCTCGGGCCAAATCCCGAGTAGTTTAACTCTTTTACATATAAACGAGCTGAACTTTGTGAGTTTGAGCCGAACCTTTTAGACTCGTTTAGAAAGGGTGTTAATCGAGCCGAGCCCATTGAACTTGTTTTTCTAACTGAGCCTAAAAATTGTTCAAACTTGACTTATTTAGAACTCGAGCCAAGCTTAGTATTGACTATTTTACATATAAATGAATCAAACTTTATGAGCTTGAACCGAACCTTTTAGATTTGTTTTTCGAAATAAACTTAAAAAATTGTTCATACTCAGTTCGTTAAAAACATGAATCATGCTCGAGCCGAGCTCAAATAACTCGTCTCAATTAATACCCTAACATTAATGAGCAAAACATCAGTTGCTTTAAAGTTTTAAGAAAAACATATTACTCTCGATGTGCAATAAATAACACTTATAGTTTTTGTGGTTTCACCACTTTAACTAACAATAAATCACAAAGCTTTCTCAAACTCTCTTTCCTTCTCATTCTTCCCCTGTTATAAACTCTCCCTCTCTCTCTCAATAACATTATATCCCCAAACACCAAAATGAAGCAGGTCTTCTTCTTTTCTCTCCTTTTCTTCTCCCTCCATGGCACAACAACAAACCTCATCCATGCAACGTGTAGATCAACATCAAGAGACAACCAAAACGTAAAGTAAAGCTTTTGCAAATCCTCTCTCTTATCAATCCCACCAGCCCAACGATCCAATCTTCAAAAGCTCAGCATTGCCTCCATCAACCTGATCCAGAAAAATGTCGTGGCCACGATTGGAGACATCAACAAGCAGTTGAAGAGAGATGTGCAGAGATCAATCACTGAATGCTTGGAGCTCTACACACAGACCATTGATGATTTAAGCGACGCGGTCAAAAATTATAAGTCGAAAAGCTTTTATGATGTTACTCAGGATGTTTCTGCAACCAGTGTGGCTGCTACGGCATGTGAGGATGGGTTTAAGGAGAGAGAAGTGGTCTCTATATTGACCATAAGGAATGATGGTGATGAGATTTCCAGACACACTAAGATGACGACACGTGTACTTGGCGCCAATGAAGACTCTCTGCTATGATCCCGACACGTCCTCGTCGGTCTATAATCCCTTTCCCCAAGGGTACTATTCATAGGGATCAAGGATCCCCAATACGCCATGGACCGACACATATCCCTCAGTCAGTTTGGATATATCGGTCCCTAATCATGCTAGTCCATCGGCACCGAGGTGTATCCATCCACGTGGGCATTTCTGCTCTTGCAAGGGCTATTGATTGACAAATTACTAGTCTAGGCTAGGCTAGACTAGCCATCATAACATCGTCTTACTCAAATGGTGTCAGGAGGCACAAGAAAGTAGAAGGCTCAACCAAAGGGGAATAGGCACATGACACATTGTGTCAGGTCAGAGACGAAAAAATCAGAATGCCCTTGCTAACACACGGCTTGGGAGGGCAGGCATTTAATGCATCATTCCCTTGATGAGATAACATTTAATGCATAAGAGCCTGGAAGTGAAAGGTAATAAATGTTCCTATGCCTGAGCATTTAATACATCCCTGCTGAGAGAAGGTCATTAAACACTCGACAGACCGACGAGAAATCATTAGTTGTTCGAGGTCCCGAACAGTTAAGAATGAGGACATTTCTCATAGAAATTAGTGTGCACATTGTCCGCCTCTAATGATTACCTACTAGCTACTCTATCAGCAATGATGAGTTTTGTAAGGTATAAATAGTCCTCATAAACACATTAAAAAGGTATGCAAAAACCCTTTCTCAAGGATCATATAGTATTTTCTTCTTCTCTTCTCTCAAAAAATTGACTTGATCGTCAGAGAGAATACGTCGAAAAACACTCCAGCACCCTTCTAACATGTTTTTCTCTGTTCTAGGAACCTCTCTTAGCCTCTCAGGACCAGTCAGGTGACCCATAAAAATAATTCATCACCACTTCTTAGGCCACCTTCGGCCCTCACAACCTATTCCAAGTAGCAAGATTGACCACTCGATCGACGGACTCGTGTTCACCATGGAAGAGATCTGTTCTTGTGTTTATATTGTGCAAGAACGTGCACGCACAATCTGGCGCTGTCTGTGGGAAACGACTAATTTTCCTAGTTTTTTTTCTAGAAAGAACAGTGACCATGGTGAATACTCGACAAAAAGGGAAAGACCCCCAGCAAAGAAGTCTCGAGTTACAAGCTCCTCATCATGGTTGGGGAAGGGATCACGCTGGTGACAACAGAAACGTTTCTATTCAATCAAGGGAGCATACTCCTCAAACCAGTATGGGCATTAGGTCTGGAGGATCCGCCCCCTTGGCTCGTCAACTGGCAGAAGTGATCGAAGTTAAGTTTGGGGATCGACTACGATAGTTAGAAAAAGACAATGTGAATGTCCTAAGCCGGCTCAAAGAATTTGTAGCCCCCGACAAAGGATCGAGGGACTCATTCCATTCTCGCGGATGCTCCGTCCGGGAAGCAGAAATCGAGGACCTGAGGAATCATTTAAACAACAAAGCTGAGAGTTCCAGGGTCCCAAAGCGCCCTAGAGCCAATGAGCACCCCTTCGATGGTCATTCCAAGAAGGCAAGGCCTTTGGCTTGGGACGACCTTCGATGAGGATTGTCTAGGCGGGGGAAGGGGGACGAGTCTGAGGAGGATTCAACTCTTTCCACACGACGCCCGGAGAAGGGGAAGTCCAACTCCAGTTGAGGAGCCCAACCTCATTTTGAATCTACCAAGCCCAAGACAGTCCAAGACCGGTTAGACTTTTTGCTTAGCACGTCATCAAGAGGAGAGCATGAGAAGCTTATCTGCACCACCGAAGGAAACGGTCCAAGCTTTGACCACGTTTCATGAAGAGCTCCCCAACCTCCTCCTTCTGTTAAGGATAAGTCATGATCTTCACCAGAATAATCTCTTAGCTACGATAAAGTAGCCTTGAGGATAAGTCATGATCTCTACAAGAATGATCTCTTAGCTGCTATAAAGTAGCCCCAATCTGTGAGGAGACGAGATATAATTGGCACGCCCCACCAACACTTACAGAGGACAGACCGACGACCGGAGACCACTCTTTTTTTGATTCTCCATTCTCTCAAAACTTGTATCTCTATTCTCCATACCTCTGAATTAATAAAATACCCGACAACTGAAGCCATTGAAGAGTGAACGTAGGTCGAATTGACCGAACCACTATAAATCGTGTCTTCTTTAATGTTCTCATTGATTTCATTGCATTTATTACCTACACTTGACAAGTGGTGTGCAAAATCATTTTTGTGCATCATCAAAAATTATGTAATTTAGATAAAAATTTAACCAAAATTTGAGTAAAAATTTAGTCAAGAATTATTCAAATTATTTTTTTATCTATATTTAAGTATCATGTGACAAGTTTATGATAAAAAATCATTAATAATCTGAACACTGTCTGCTTGAGAACCATATATAATCAAATTCAATATTTCAAGAGCCAAAATGATGCAATGGAAACATTGGAGACCAAAATGAGACAAATTCTATACCTTAGAAATCTCTAATGCAATTAACCCTACTTTTTTGTTTTATCAATCTTTCTTCATATATAATAAAATTAGTTGTCCCAGAAAACACTATGTAATCTCAAAAATCAAGCATTGATGATATAATATTTTTAATTTATTTTTTTCTATTTAATCACATAATTTTAAATTAAATTAACAAAGATAAAATAAGAAAGAAGTAGGGTGAGAGAAGAGAGAGGTATATATGTGATGAGATTATCTAATATTAAAAATCGTGTAATGAAAAAAATGTTTTTGAGCTGAGAAATTTTTTTGGGATGAATTGTAGATAAAAATTAGATTAATTTTTGACTATTTGTATCGTGTATCTCATGGGTAAAATTTATCTCAAATCAACTTGAAAGAAAAAGTGTATCTCAAGTGGTTTTTTTTTTTTTTGGCACTGTATCTCATGTGATTCGATCATTGAGAGTTCATACTCTATGATGAATTCAATACTCAGTGAAGTGAGTAATATCTCTAATATCAAAGTAGAACTTAGCCTTCAAAACCGACTTACAAAAAAAAGTGCCCAAAAATTCATAAACTCAAGTTTAAATTAATATTCAATCGATGTAAAATCGTAACATAAAAGAAATAATAATTTGTTTTTGGATAAGTAAAATAAAAGGAATAATAGTTAAATTATGTAAATTTCATGTGACCCTACATGCCAACATTAAATCACTCAATTAACTTTTATTTCTCCTACTTTCTTTTGCATCACTTTTTCCCCACAACAGCACATGGGTACAATCTACAATACTTTGACGACCCATAATGGAAATTCTTCATGCTTTACTTTTCGATTTGGTATCAAGAAATCATAATCAAACAAGCCCAATTACAAACTCAATAGAATCATTTCATGTCAGACCCAAAACATTAACCTGATTACAACTTTTTAAGATAGATCCCGACTGAAAGATAATTTTGACATGTTTGAGCCATAACTAGGCCCGGTTTCATCATTTTTTATTTATTTTTCGATAGATACCAAACTTAGCATTGTATAAGTACCCTTGGGTTCTTCATTCATCTCGAATGGCGTGGTTTTTTTTTTTTCCTCAGCCATTGCCTCATGGTCGTGCTAAATCTATTCTCATGCATGCTTATGCAAAATTGATTCTTTGGAAAGCCGCAGATACGGCTATCAAATGAGGCAGTTACAAAACTGAAGGATTTTTACACAGAAAAGTCATGTTATCAATCCACAACTAACTATATCATCTGCAGCATCAAGCAGCTTTTAATTGGTCTTCGAATCTCACTGTCAGATAGTATCTTTACAAGGGAACTTGTATGCTCTATAATTCTTGCTTCTACTCCACCAAAAGGATATCCTCATACAGGCACTCGTTTGCTTCTGTTCCGTTCAAAAAACTGCAAAATGGAAAAAATATATATATATCCTTAAAAGCGAATCTAAAATCATTACAAGTGATGCTTAAGCATGCAGAAATATCACTTCAGAATGCAAATGCAAGTGCTAGAAAATGGATTGTGATAATCAAATGGTTTCAGAATTTGTCCGTCACATAATATAATTTTGCATGACCCCAGATGATGGTGGTGCTTGTTTACACCAAAGATGTGGGTTAACAGGTTTAACCTAATCCATTTTGATCCAATTCTTTATGACCTGTTCACTAAGGGGGTTGAAAATTGGTTGGTATTGATCTATTCTGGTTCAGTTCTTGACCCGCCCACAACCTATGCAATCTGCCAGTTTGACAACAATGGGAAACACCATACCCAACTAATCGGACACAAAATTTCACATCATTCATATGATATGACCGCGTAGGCATCAACATACATAAGGGCCCACAATAAAACACCAAAGACATCCAATTAACACCAAACCGATACTCTTTAACTTATTCATGGCTACACCAAATAGTCCATATTTTGGTTCTGAGCACCTATTGTAAGGAGATAATATTTTATAAAGCATGCTCAGTTCCCAGATATACAAGTAAGAAACATCTTTATAAAATAATCTACTGCAGGAATCCTAGGTTTGAAGGCGCAGGAGAATATATCTAAAACGAATTAGACATACCGATGTCACGAACGATTGACGGAAAACCCAACCAACAACAGGTAACTTCTGCAGGAAAACAGACAGTGTAGGCCAGAAGCCGCTGCACATCATATTATATGGTTTGTTAGAACTTAGAAACCAGTACAATTTTAGAATGAGAACAATAATGGGTGGCAATCTACCAAACCTGAAAAGGACAATGAAACCATATGTCTCCACGATCATGCCAATCACAGGCCATCCAGTAATGACAAAGAAGAAACCAACACCAAATGAAACTGAACCCTGTCCGATCAAAACAGTGCAGCATATAAGAAACAACTGTCAATAATATCAGAGAGATAGAGAGAATAAAAAAGGTCAAAACCTTGAAATTCTGGCGGTTCATGAAGAATTGCAGGGTGGACTTGATTCCTATGGTTAAGGTCACTCCGGATAGGAAGAGGATCTGAGCATCAGGCATAAGTGAACAATGTTAAACAGTTAGCTAAAAGAGTAAAACAAAATGAAATCGGGAAAAACATCAGAAAGGATATGAAAGCAAGATGGAGAAATGAATGATTTCCTTACATTTCCAATTGCAAGAAAACCCTTGTCAAAGAAGAATAATACTCCGATGAAAGTGAATATTACCCCAAACCCAGTCAATCCAAGCCCGATCTCTGTTTCATAAGTTTAAAAAGTATCAGAACTTGGACAATAAAAGGTACTACCGTACTAGTTACTACTAAAACTTTATAATATTGAGTAATCAAATATTGTCAAAATGAGATGGGAAGCAAAAAAGCAATACAATATGACCATACAAATTAGCAACTTTTGCTTCTAGGAGCTTTTATTACTATATGCATGAATTCCAACAACAGTTACTGGGGAATACTCAACCATCCCACCACACCAAGAAACAACAACTCTTAATCTAGCAACTGCTGTAAGAGTAATTAATTGGGAATTAACAAAAAAATCCACATTTTCCTTAAAGTATCATGAAATAAGGACTTTAAACAGTCCCCGTGATGTTGGGGTATACCAATCTGTGCATAATTTGATAACTACTAAAAGCTGCATGAAATGACACCTTGAACATTTTGACAAAGTATAGCATATGTTGTTATACATGTATCATCTGATATCCATGCAGATAAATTGACACATAAAAAAGTACAAGATGATTAATGCCACAACATGATTCTTATCTAATAATGGTGGTCACATCGAAATATAGTACGACTCAACCACCACAATACATTCTTTTTCTTTTTTGAAACAATGATAAAGGTCTCTTTAGATAGAACTGACGATTACTTTTCCAGCTTCAGATATGATGCAATTGGTTGACCAAATAACTAGGAAAATATCATACAATTAAAATTGGAAAATTATGTTCGGTTCTTTGCAGTTGCTACTTGCTGGGACATGTTTATAATGATATCAGGGATTTAATATCCAAAATTTAGGAAGTATACCATCATGCAAACACATCTAGAGCATCTATGTCCTACGTGTACAATTTACAATTTTGTAGTTCTATGTTTTTCCTCCAAAACTTCCTTGTTGATTATTGTGATTTACTCTTTCATAGTTCTATAACTTCTAGTTGATTTTTCCGAAAAGTCCTGAACATGTCCCTAACATGTCCAACATGTTCGAAATTCCCATCAAAACTCGGACACCTCATCCCTATCCGATAGTGCAAGTGTCATACATATGTCCAACATTGATATGCTAGTTGGAAAGTTAGATTACATCATATCTAGATTTAAAAAAAAATTAATTCTGCAACAGCAATGGTGAAAGGATATTTCCCATTATAATTATAGGTAATTGTCCAGCATCGAAAGTATATATTTGTTTCTATGTTGACATAAACAAACAATAACATGAAACAAAATTTGTGACACCTTCAACAACTTCAATAAGGATAACAAAAGATTTCTTAAATAAACAAATGTAACATAACTCCACCATTTCCTATGTTTTGTACTACAATTAAATATAAATAGGTAGGAACCTGCATGGTACTCACTTTTAATATCACTCGTCTCAAATGAAACCATTTCTGCCACCACAAATCACCAAATCTTCTCAGTTTTTGCTGCAATGAAACATAAGAGATTCTGAGAACAGCAAGAGAGGAGTCGAAAGATAAAAAATAACATTAATCAGATAAGTCCACGACCCTGTCTGTCAGCTAAGAACCTAAGAAAACAAAACAGAGACTAAAAATCTTTAGTCCTGTCATAGCTTTGGATGCAGAAAACAATGACTTACAATTAAGATACCTTCTTACAAATACAACTTGTCATAATCTAGGTGATATGTTCATTCTTCAAGCTACATTGTTTTACATTTCATCGTCAAATCTCTTCTAAGCAACCAGAGAATACAAATCACAGAAATATATAGCACGCACACAGAATAAGCAGTCTATCTATCCACAGAAAGACTCAAATTCTAAGAAATTAGGGTTTCAATGTACAGATTTACATCAAAACAGCCATATAAACGTCAATTTGCGGAAATCTAAAATCATTTAGCCTCCCAAAAATCAACGTATCCATAATCTGTATATATAATGTGAGTACAAATCAGAGAATACAAAGAAACCTAACCGAATTGTAGAAACGCAAGAGAAATGGAACCTAACAGTCCCGAAGAAACAATTCACATAAACTGCAGTGTGTGTGTGAAATAATACACCTATATGAGAGAGAGAGAGAGAGAGACTTTACATGCTTGAGAATTCGCAGAGGAGAACCGCGCTGATTTTTCAGATCCTTCTATGCGAAGCGAGATAACGATATATATATATATATATGTGATTGGACCAGTTCTGTTTCTTTTTTTCTGTTTTTTATTTTTATTTTCCAATTAAACACTTTCTACTAAAGTATCTAATTTTTATTTTATTTTTTTGGTTAACGAGTTCCTCTTTAAAGCAACCATTTTGGATCCATTATAGCTGAAGTATATATCTACAATCACCTGTAAATTACAATATCAGTTAAGTTTGGAAAATACCAATTGGGATTGAACCAATGAAGTTCGAGTTTCCGGTTCTTCGATGTTTAATCCACATCGCTAGGCTATTCATTGAGTTTAACCGATGCTCTATTTGGTATGATAGAAAGTTATAACAATAAATAAAATATTATGTTTAGTAAATAAGGAAAATAGGAAAGATGAAAAAGTGGATAGATAAATTTTACTTCCAACTCACTAAAATTAATATCTCTAAAATCGGAAGGAAAATGAATGAAAAGTTAATTATTTATATTAAAATATATCTTATTTATCTGTATATCCTTTGATATATACATATATTATGTATGCACTAATTTTATATATAAATACAGTGATAAAATATGTATTTATATTTTTTAAAATTAAAAAAAAGTATATTTTCATTTTAACTAGTGGTTAAAATTTTCGACTCAACTATATGACACGATTAGAACTCGATACGAATATTATGACACGGATTTGATTATAACTCGAAATGAACTCGAAAATGACCTATCACACGAATAGAAAATATAAAACGATTCATATTTAGTTCAACCCGACAAACTCAAAATTGATATCTTCAACCCGTTTATTTAAGAATAAATATTTTCTGTATTTTATCGTTTGTATGATAACACGAAATTAACATGTTTAATTAGTATTATAAACATAAAATATTAATAATTTGTAACTGTTTATTAAACACTGACATAATATTATATTAAAAATATATTTTTACTTATTATTATATTTATTTAAGTTAATTTTTAATTTATAAAAAAAATATGAGCCTGAGATTCAATTAAGTGAAAATATAATATTAACATTAAATTTTTTATTCAAAGTTTATGTGAGTTAACATAAACACGAACACGAACACGAATACGACACGAAAATAAACAGGTCAATTCGACACAACATGATTAGTTAAAAGAGTTGAGTTATGTTTAACTAACATTCAACACAAACTCATAATGACTCGATACGAACCTGACATGACACAACTCAATTATCACCTCTAATCTTATCAAATATAAATAAAAAAAAATTATCATTTTTATTTTTCATCCATTTTACTAAATACAGAAGAAAGCAAGTGTATAATTTAATTTATAATTTCCTTATTTGGAGGATAAAAAATATATTTCTCCTACTTTCAATCCCTTTACTTTTTATCATTCATACCAAACGGAGCAAAAACCTATTTTTGGGCCAATCAATTTTTCAATAATTTTATTGTATTATGCAATTTAATAATTAAAATACTTTATCATGTCTATCTTACTATACTGTAAAACAAACAAATTATAAATGAGAGGCATTAAAAAGGGTTTCTCCTTATATACTTATTTACTAAAAAGTAATATTATTTTGATTTAAAAATTTGACCTAATTTGCTGACATAACGATGTAGTTTCAATAGAACAACACCAAATTCTAATATTTGATAGGCTCCACAGTCAATCTAAAGATTATAGTGAATTAGATCAGTAAATTAGGTTCTAATAACATTAATCTTTACTAAAATGTTGAAATATTTAATTCACTCACTATAATCAAAACATTACAAGTGTCATTTGTAGCCACTCTCACTATTTTCCTTTTATAAACTACTTCAAAATTTAAATTTTTAATCATATTTTTTAATTATTTAAAATATATATAAATATCATTTTGACACTAACTGAAGTTGTCCGGTGATACTATGGTTATGAAGGGTTCAATAGTAAAGTGATAATTAAAAGAAATTGTTTTTTGGTTAATTATATATTTTTTGTATAAGTAATGCTAATCCTATCAATTTATCATATCAATACAAAAGGAACTGCTGTATCTCTCCAACAAATTTTCCTGCCCATTGAATAGAGGCACTTTAGTAGTTTTGAGATCAAAATCTTGCGCATCGATTTCGCCGGTCACATCTCCGATTACTCTTCGGCGAGATCTTGATCATTACGTCGGAAAAACTTCCTCTCGGTCCGATTATTTTTCAAAAAGATCCGATTGATGGCTCCGGTTTCGGCTCTTGCGAAGTACAAACTGGTGTTTCTGGGGATCAGTCAGTCGGCAAAACAAGCATCATCACTCGATTCATGTACGATAAATTCGATAACACTTACCAGGTAATCACAAAACAAATCATCAGAAGAATACTGATCTATCTATTATGTAATCATATTTGTCGATCTGATTAGTTCTGCCTTTTTGTTTGCTTTGGGATCAACGTTAGGATTTCGAAGACGCAGCTATGTTCATGATTTTTCTGTTTTGTTATAGCATTTGTTAGTCTTGATTTGATTCTGACTTCTTCTTGTAGCAATCTTCTATTCTGCTGATCTAGATGTTAACTGAATTGCTTGCGTTTGGCTGACGAAAATATGCGGGAAAGAAGTAAGCAAAAATTAGCTGACAAGCAAGGATGAGAAAGAGAGGAGATAATAACCTATTAATATTGTTTCACTTTGTTCTGGTTGCTAAGCTTCAAGGGCGGGTTTTTTTTTTTTGGGGGGGGGGGGGGGGTGGTAGTGTGTGGGGGGTGGGAATTGAGACTGCTGATTTGGAATGGCTTATCGGCTAATTCTGTTGCGTTATCTTTGCTAATATCACCTGTAGGTATATTGATAGTTAACAGAAAAAATTTACTAACTCAAGAGGATGTTTTATTATGCATAAGAGGTTGGCTTATATAGCCATACAACAACTTGAAATCCACAAAAAAATAAAACAAAAAGAGAGCACCTGAATGCTACAGATCAGGTCAAACTCTTCTATCCTAACAAACCACTAATTGTGTCCCTAATAACAAAGGATTATTAACAACCAAATTGACCAACTCAACTACATCATAAACATATAGTAAATCTAACACCCTTCCATAAACTGATGTTGTACACAAAACATCAGTGTATCTCAGATTCAGAACAAACACCAAGTAGACCTTGCAACCTCACAAATGTCTCAAGCTTCAATGATTTTGTAAATATGTCTGCAATTTGCTTTGAACTCTGACAATATATTAACTCAACTGTACCTTCCTTTGTGAGCTCATGAAGAAAATGGAACCTGATATCAATGTGTTTGCTTCTGCCATGTAGTATTGGATTTTTTGAAAGTTGAATAGCAGAACTGTTGTCACAATGAATTGCCGTAGGACCACGTGGAACATACTTCAAATTTCCAAGCAATCTCCTTAGCCATATAGCTTGACACACACAAGATGCAATTGCAATATATTCGGCTTCTGTTGTTGACAAGGAGACTACCGACTGTTTTTTAGAAGACCACGATATTGCTCCAAAATTGAGGAAAAACACATAGCCGGATGTGCTTTTCCTATCCTCCAAGACCCTTGCATAATCACCATACTATATCCAACCAAGCTATTACCCTTCTCCCTTTTATAAAGAATCCCAAAGTTGCTAGTACTTTTTACATAACGAAGAACTCTTTTGGCAGCTTGAAAGTGTAGCATGGTCGGTTCTTCCATGAATCGGCTTAGAAGGTTGGTGACATACATTATATCCGACCTCGTTGCAGACAATTACATGAGGCTACCAATTATCTGCTTGCACAAGTGCTATCAATTCTTTCTCCTCCAGCATCTTTTGTGAGATGGTAGCCAGGAACAATAGGATTATGGATATGATTGCACCCCTCCATCTGAAACCTTTTAAGAACATCTTGGACATATTTCTTTTGACAAATAAAAATCCCATTCGAGGTTTGGGCTACCTCGATGCCCAAAAAATAGGACATTCTGCCCAAATCATTCATGGCAAATTCCTTCATCACGGAATTTTTAAATTCCAAGAACATGTCTTCATTATTTCCGGTAAAAATCAAATTATTTACGTATAGACAAACTATGAGAATTTTACCTCCCTCCCTGATTTGGACGAATAAGGTTTGCTCAAATAGGCATTTCTTGAAGACAATTTTGAGAAAAAAAGCCTTGATGCGACTGTACCATGCTCGTGGGGCCTGTTTTAGGCCATATAATGCCTTTCTTAACTTGTATACTTTGTGCTCATTCCCCGACTAGATGTACTCTAGAGGTTGGTCAATGAAAACTGGTTTCGTGAGCTCACCGTGAAGAAAAGCGGATTTCACATCAAGCTAAAAAATGGTCCAACAATTTTGAGTTGCGAGAGACACCACCAAGCGGATGGTATCAAGACAGGCAACTGGGGCGAAGACCTTTGTATAATCAATTCCATATTCTTGTGTGTAACCCTTTGCCATTAGTCGTGCCTTGTGTTTGTCAATTTCGTCTTTTTCATTGAGCTTTGTTTTGTATATCCATTTGACACCCATTGTCTTTTCTCCGTGAGGTAAATCTGTAAGTTCCCATGTGTCATTTTTTTCAATGGACTTTATCTCGACATCCATGGCTTGCTTCCATATGGGTGATCGAATTGCCTCAACGAAAGAGATAGGATTGATGCAAATGAGTCATCATCTGATAACTCATCTCCACTCACATAATCCATCAACCTGGCTGGCTGCCGTGCTAATCGTTTGCGTGAGGAATGTGGCTGATCTTCAATGTGCGGAGGTGGTGGTGCTGCGTTGGAAGGAGGTGTCAACATACCTGCTTGTGCTGCAAATGTGTCACAGGTGGCACCTACTTGTGCTGCAGATGTGGTGCCCATGTGTGGTTGATCAACTGTATCAGTGCTGCCTCCCTCCAATATTTCACTAGTTTGTTTACTAGCATTTACGCCGGTATCGTCTACAGCATCTAAAGAGCTTTCAACATTAGTTGTGGCATTATGCCAATCCCACGTTTGTCCTTTTGCAAACTGGACGTCACGACTAATGATGAGTTTCTTTGTGATGGGGTTATACATGCGAAAAGTCTTTGACTCTTCACTGATGCCTAGAAAGGTGCAGCGCTCGCTTTTGGCATTCAGCTTTGTTCTGATTGAATCTGGTATGTGTATAGCCTATATAACCAAAAATTTTAAAGTGAGCTACAGAAGGCTTACGGTTAGACCAAGCTTCTTCGGGAGTCATGGCTTTGACAGCAAAGGTGGGACTTCGATTCAGAATATGCACACTCCAATTGACAGCTTTGGGCCAAAAATTTTTGGGGAGATTTTGTCTTGCCATCATGCTACGCACCATATTGAGAATAGTGCGATATTTTCTCTCGGCCAAGCCATTCTGTTGAGGCATGTAGGCTGCAATGAGTTGACACTGAATGCCATGTTGCTCATAATATGTCACGAATGCCCGTGAATTAAACTCACTGCCACGGTTGGTGCGAAGACATTTGATGGAATAGCCTATCATCTTCTCTACTTTAGATTTAAAGCTTTGAAAGGTAGTAAAAGCTTCAGATTTTTCATGTAAAAGATAGACCCACGTTTTGTGACTGTAATCATCAGTGAAGGTAAAAAAGTACCTTTTCCCACTAGATGAAGCTGGGTTGATAGGTCCGCATAAATCGGAGTGAACTAATTCCAAGATGTGTTTAGCTTGCCATGCTGAAGCAGTGGGAAAAGAGTCACAAGGCTGCTTGCCTACAGTGCATTCATCACATATGTCAGTTTGAAGTTGAATAGGAGGTAGACCAATGACTATGTTCTTCTGATATAGAGTTTTCAGACCACTGAAATTCAAGTGACCATATCGGCAATGCGACAACCAATTGTTGTCTTGTACCCGAGTTGAGAGACACCTTGTGACAGGTCAAGGAGAATGGAGAGGAAACATACGATTCCTTGTCATCATGACTTTGGTGATGAGACCTTCTGATGAGGGTTGAATTTGACAATAGCCGCTTTCAAACCTTATGTTGTACCCGTGTTCATGCGGCTGTCCCATACTGATGAGATTATTTTTTAAATTTGGAATGTAAAACACATCTGTCAGTTTACACACATGCTTATCAGAATGTATGTATATGTTTCCTGTGCCCATCACGGCAACGGTAGAATTTTCTCCCAACTTGACATGTTCTCGAAATGCTTCATTTAATTCAGAGAATAGAGATTTGTTACCGCTCATGTGATTGCTACAACCAGAGTCAAAGTACCAAATTTCTGAGTTGGTTGCCTCCTCCTTCTGAACGTATGCCATCAAGAGCACCTCCTTAGATTCCGCAAAATTTGTTTCTTCTTTTCCAGTGAGTGCGTTTATGACATCGAAAGCATTCTACATTGGATTTGTCCCACGTACCTTCTTGTTTTGAGGCTTGTGTATCACGCCAACGACCTCGTCCACGTCCATTGCCTCTCCCACGTGTCCATATGGGGAGGTAATCTCCCGTCGAGTGTCTTCACCAAGTGAAGCTTTTAATGATTTTTCTTCAACAACGGAGCTAGTCACTCTTTGTTCATGGACTAATAAAGAGATTTGTAAGTCGTCGACGGAGAGAGTGGTAACATCTCGAGATTCTTCGATGGAGCATACAGCATAAACGAACTTAGGGGTCATAGAGCGAAGAATTTTTTCCACAATCACCACATCCTCCATTCTTTTGCCATGAAGTTGCATTTTGTTCGCAATCACCAATGTTCACCCAAAATATTCATCAATAGTTTCTCCTTCCTTCATTGCAACAATTTTAAACTCTCTGCAAAGAGCTTGTAATTGAGCGCGTTTGACACGGGCTGTCCCTGAAAACTTCTGTTTCAGTGAGTCCCAAATATCTTTTGCAGTATCTTTCTTGAGGATGGTTTCGAGAGTGACACGATCTATAGGCTGGAAGAGATAATTTTTGAATTTCAGGTCTTTCAACTTCAATTCATCTAGCCCCTTTCGGCTTTTGTGTGCACCGCTCCGGTCTCTGGCTCAACATAGCCAGTCTCTACTAGCTCCCAATATTCCTTAGATCGCAGGAAATTCTCCATCAACATGCTCCAATGGTCATAGTGACCATCGAAGCGAGGGATGGCTGGCTACACAAAATTCCCTTGGGTTGTCATCTTCTTTGCTGCTAAAGATCCTCAAAGACTGCTGCTTTGATTTGGTCAGGCCCAGTGGGGGCTCTGATACCACATGTAGATATATTGATAGTTACCAGAGAAAATTTACTAACTCAAGAGGATGTTTTATTATGTATAAGAGGTTGACTTATATAGCCATACAACAACTTGAAATCCACAAAAAAAAATAAAACAGAAAGAGAGCACCTATATGCTACAGATCAGGTCAAACTCTTCTATCCTAACAAACCACTAACTGTGTCCCTAATAACAAGGGATTATTAACAACCAAATTGACCAACTCAACTACATCATAAACATACAGTAAATCTAACATCACCTTCTTTTCAAACTTACTAGATGTAAAAACTATCATTTTCTTTAAGCAGCAGTTTGAGTGCATTTCTACTAATCTATAAAAGCTAGTCTACTTGCTTCAACTTTTCAAGTTCGAGACGAGATTTTGCTCACGAACCTGTCCTCTTGCACTTTTCGGTCAAGGGAATACATCCCATTTTTAGAGGTCAAGTTTTGTCAGTAACAAACCTGCGCTGGGAAACATTCTCACCTTCTAACATTTTATCTGTAATTATTAGTACTCTGGACAATTTATCATTTGGAATTTGCAGCTAATGGCATCCTTCGTTGGAGTATTCACATTTGTTTTTTGCTTAATGTAACAAAGATAATCAAATTTATCAGTTATTCAAACCTGTTTTGGTAGATATGTGATTGTGTGGGTGCATGTCTGAGCGTGTTTTTGTGGATTGGCTTTACATGTGGCTGATTTGGATTCTGAAGTTACAGCTGTAATAACGATGGCAGTCTGAAAAAAGTTTTGGTCGTGATAAAATTCAGTTGCTACATTTGAATTTTTGTAAGGAGATGAACACTGCCTTTTCAAACTGTATGAGAATTGCCATATGTGTGATAAAACATGACTAATCAAACTGGTTCATAACAATAACTTTTGATAGTGGACAGTATTAGAGTTGTTATTGGAGCAACAGCATTAACGTGATATTTTCAGCATCTTAATGAACTCCTTCATTCAAATTTCCGGGTGTCTCTATCTTCTGTATATGAGTTCATAGTCTAGAGTCTTTGTGCATAGCTTTGGATACCTTCTTTGTTTCTGAATTAGTCATATTCTTTCATATTGCCACATATGTATTACATGTAGGTAATCAAGGGTGTGATGCCAATGGGGAGTTTAGGCAAAACTCATGTATACGATTTGTATACTGAATAGAAGAACCTCTCACATGACCAAGCAATGGAATCACAACCTATTGAATCAGAAAATAATATTCTTACGAAATTTGCTAACACTGCTGGACACAAACTGTAGGAAAATTGTGTAATTTTTGTTTGTCTTTTCTGTGACAATTCATAGTCGTTCTAATTACAGTGGTTCATTCTCTATCTGCATTGTACTCCATGATTGCCATATTTCAAGCTTAGCCGCGTGGAAGACAGTGATACAGTACACTTGACAAGCAAAGGGGCGAACCTTGAATTTCACATTGCGGTTTGGACATCTTGTAATGAATTTTAGGAATTTCATGTAGGCGTGCCTCTACGTGTTTAAAGTTGGCTATCAGGAAAGACCTCACTACAGTACTTGACTGCAATGAGCAACAACTAGAAAATGCTGTTTTAATTTTTCTTAGTGCTTAAATGATAAGGATCAAGTTGATTTTGTGAGTCTGTGAATCTAATCCTTTTCCCATGTCTCCCCACACAAATCAAAATTTATGTGGCATCTTGTTACTTGTACTAATTTGTGATTTCATGCTGTGTCATTTTGCATTTATATTTCTATCTCTGTCTTATATGCATCATAAATTGCTATTCAGGCTACTATAGGTATTGATTTTCTGTCAAAGACCATGTACCTTGAAGATCGAACAGTTCGATTGCAGCTCTGGTAAGATGGATTTTTTATGCAAAATATTGTCATCTGCATATGTGAATGCACTAAGATGCATTGCACTTTTGTTAGTGTAATGATGCAATGGCGTTGGGTTTTGAGATTTGTTTAATAATCAAAATTCAGTAAGGATCAGTCAATCCGTTTTACACGTTACGAGTTATGACATCACTTGTTTTGTATTACAATCTTTGAAACAGTCTGTTTTGCAATTTTCTACAAGATTTAGCAGAGGGTCTACATGTACTGAGAATGTGCTAGCCATATTTTTATGATCTTAAGTGAATTCTTTTAAATATACAGGGCGATTTATCAGACTTCGTGCTTTTTAAGTAATCTATTCCATGAAGTCAAAGGTGTTCTATATTAGTGATGAAAACCATCATACTACTGTTCCTCAATTGTTTCTTTATTTGTAGTAGGAATTTTGTGAGAACTTCAGCCTTATGTATTTCCTAAAAAAAAGAGATGCTGCTAAAATGCCTTTTTTGCTAGAGTGAAAAATCGAGGTTCATGTGTGAATTTCATATTTTCCCATTTTTGTTATGGCTAATGATTTGCATGTTTCCATTAACCCTAGTATATTTTACGTTCTAGAAATATTTCATTCTGTACTTCTCTTAATCCCAATTTTCAAATACTCCATAGGATGGGTACATTCTCTTTATGAGTGATCTTCTGTTCTTTGTGCATTCAGGGATACTGCTGGACAAGAAAGGTTCAGGAGTCTTATCCCTAGCTACATCAGGGACTCCTCTGTCGCAGTCATTGTGTACGATGTTGCAAGTATGCATATTTTCCCTTTGCTTTATCCAGTTCGCTTCATGCACTAAATCGAGTTTGTTTAGTTTCATGTATTCTCAAAAGAGGGTGTTAAGAATTACTTAAAGCCACATGAATAGATGTGCCTAGTAATAGGTTTTGCTTTACAGTCACCTTCATTATTTTGAATTTACATTGTTGGGATGCTATGATTTTGAATTAATTTATAAAGCATCTTGCTTGTTCTTTGACCCAATTCCTTTTAAGTTAATTTTCTGATTTATTCATTGTTATAAATCATACATGTAACTTTTGAGATTATTTTACTGACTACGGTGCTTTTGGGGGGTTTAGGCAGACAATCATTCCTGAACACTTCAAAGTGGATTGAGGAGGTTCGCACTGAACGAGGCAGTGATGTTATCATTGTCGTTGTTGGGAATAAAACTGACCTAGTAGACAAGAGGTAATAATATTATTCTTTTCTTGTTAAACTTGAATCTATCTTGGTCTGAGAGAATCTTTTTTTTTTCATAAAATGTTTTTAATTTTTGGTTTTTGAATTTTTTTCTTAAAGTAAATTGTTATATTACCTGGGTGGGCCAGGGTTACTTAAACCCATGCAACCTCCATTGAGTTGTGTTTGCCTCATGCTCTCCGAACCTGTCCCTTTCCAGTTCAAAGCCTTCAAAAACAGCCTGGTCATGGTGGGGTGCATTGTCTTTTTTTTTTCTGAGATATATTCCCATCCTTGCATGCAAGGTCATTTTTTGTGTCATGATACACAATGTTGGCGTCACTGAGTATGTTATGCCATGTCAATTATGGCTTTCTTCCTTGTCATTACAGAACTTGGTTTCAAGAGGAATGGAGGTACTCCAAAATTTCCTTCTGATGAACATGACAATCGTAATTTACTAGAGTTTGTAAGCATTAAAATTTAATGTATTAACAGGATTAAATCAGGAGTAGCTTAAAAATTTATGAGTTAACAGCCTAAAATCAGGAGCAGATATTATGGGTAGCTACAAAGCAAATGTTAAATTGCTAAACTGACCAGGCTAGCATGAATCATTTTGGTTGATTCATGTAGACAAAAGGATAAAGTAAAAGGATTTTGGAAGGTGCTGTTGTTTTTTATTAAAGATCATTAGGCTCAAGTGTGCAAAGAGTGTTGATGCACTGTGGCATTTTATAATTGCACATTATTTCCCTTGATTTTTGCAAGTTTTATTCTCAGTTTCTTTTTCTTTTGTTTTTTCCTCTTTGCTTTTTGTATCTTATAGAGGACTTCTTGTTCTCTCATTTACTTTTTGCCTTTGGCACATTGATTTTTCTAATACTACAATTTCGTTTACTATAAACAAAAAAAGGATAGAGTATACAAATAACTTGCAGATGTTAGAAAGAATGGGGGGATGGGGGAGGGAGTGTGTAGGCTATTGGTCAACGTACATCGTGGTCAGTTCTTGTGAGATCTCTTTAGGACATCAAGATTTAGTAAATCATATCATGAGAGATTTATGTATCACAATTTAGAATCTATTCATGTCGTGTGATATTTATGTATCAGAATTAAATTTTCATACCTTTCCGTTATTGCTGGACATGCATGAATTGGAACTGTCCACATGACCCAGCTGCCTGGAAAGGGCTTATTACTAACCACTGTGCATCCAAGTGGCAAAGAATTTAAGTGTTATTGGTGAAACTATGCTGGTTATCTGTTCTTAACCCTAGAGCATATTGTGTATTCTCAATGTTAGGACATGGCTTAAAATTGCACAGGTCGCTTCTACATGGGGTTGACCTTATTGTATTTTTTTTCCCGTTAGGCTCACTATTAGCATCTGTGGTTTATTTGTAGGCAAGTCTCGATAGAGGAAGGAGAAGCCAAAGCTCATGACCTAAATGTTATGTTTATTGAAACCAGTGCCAAGGCCGGCTTCAATATAAAGGTAAGCTGACATGGTCTTTCCTGAGATTTCCCATTTCCTAGAAATAATTTTGGCTCCAGGTAATGGAACGACTATGTGCATAAAGTGGTGAGCTTCATCAGCTCTCTCTCTCTCTCTCTCTCTCTCTCTGGGGTGTGGGTGAGGTTGAGTTGTTTTTTTGTTAGGAGTTGGTTTTGAGGGGTGGGGGGAGGTTAAGTATTTTCAATGATATGATGTGACCCGTGTCTTAATTAGGGGCCATTGCCTAGTCTATTAGGGACCATTTTTTGTGCATAATGCTAAAGAAGGGGTGGGCTAGGTTAAGTATTTTGAATGATAGCTATGATGTGGCCCCTGGCATAATGAGGGGCCATTGCCAAGTCTATTAGGGACCATTTTTTGTGCATAATGCTAAAGATTAGTTCTTCTATCCGATCCACCCCCTCTAGCATCCTCAATGAACAAGAACCAAAATTTTCCAAAGATGTATTATATCTTTTTCCCTGATTGGTCTGTGTTGAGCTTGAATTGCACTTTAGACAAATGACCTACCCTTATAATTGTCAGAAGTTGATGATGCTACTCATATTACTATATAATTAAATTTATTGTCAATTTTACCCTTATTTGAAGTTATTTCTCTCCTTTTCTCCTTCTTGGGTCTGGCTTTGTCTCAACTCTGCTGCCATGGCATCCCACCTCCGCGCATAATCACCATGGCTGCTCGCTGTTGCCGCCGCATTTTCTCCATAACCTGCATTTTGGTCTACTCCTCCTTCCATTGAAACCTCAGGTGTATAGTCACTTTCCACCTGCATGCTCAATTCACCCACCATGCATACATGTATGTGTATCCCGGGAACCCAATTTAACCCGCAACTACCATCCTTCTTGCCCCAGCATGATCGAACCCCACCATAATTAGCTCTTCCAACTCGAATAATTGTCTTTTAAATGAAAAAAATTGTCTTGCATTAGTTGACAAATAATCTTTGCAGGCACTATTCAGGAAAATCGCTGCAGCCTTGCCCGGCATGGAAACACTATCTTCAGCAAAGCAAGAAGACATGGTTGACGTCAATCTCAAATCTAGTAATCCAAATGCATCTCAGTCACAACAAACGTCAGGAGGATGTGCCTGTTGATGACTTTGATGGTAAATGTTGTCGTCTGCCTCATTTTTCACTCTCGGTGATCCTAAAATGCCTGTAAAATTCTTGTCCTTGATAGCATTAACATTTTTTGGTGTGTTCGGTTGTAAAAGTTAAACTGAGATATAGGAGTTCATTGTTGTAGTTGACTAGTCCTAGCAATGTCATCTGTTATCTCTGTGATTCTTGAGGACCGTAGTCTTTCAGGTTCTTTATCTTGGGAAAATTTCTGTTAAGTACAATTCTGATATAATGTTGCTATATTGTTGAAAATTTTGATTTGCAATTTGTCAAATAAAGTACCCTTGGTTACTGATGATTTAGTATTAAGTAGGGTTGTGCTTGGCTGAGGCACCTTCATTTGGAAGGGCAACAGAAATATCTTCTTAGAAATGAGATTTTGCAGCCACTAGGACTGAGGATTTGATTCTTTTTTCCAGGTTATATGAGCCTAACAAGCAGGTTTCATTTTGCAAGTATGCTTGGGATTAAGGGTGGTAATTTTTATGTCGACCCACCTACCTGATGCGAAACTGAGCCGAAGTGACTTGGTATGTGTCTAATCTTTGGTTTGATCCAGGACGGTGTTAATTAAATTGGATGCACGACACAAATTCGATTACACATGACTTAAAAGGCAATAAGCTATGAATTCATATCAGAATGTTGCGAATGGTATTAGAAGTTAGGTTTGTATCCGGTCTACCTCTCTCGTCATCCTCGCTTATTGGGATCTATAATTGTCCTTATTTTTGTAATAGATTTACTGTTAGACATATAATGATGGTAAATTCTGCCACGGGGATGAAATCATCATGCTATATTACACTTGGGTTGTCATATTGGTTTCTGGAGTTTCCTTTATTCTATTATAATGAAAGGGAGAAGTCCATGGTACCCAAAAACAATTTTTCTCCTGATAAAAGGGTCAACTCAAGCCCTTAACAAACCAGATATAAAAAAAGAGCAATGATACAAAATTTAAATGAAATTTAAAAAGTTGTAATTTAGATGCATATCATCTCTCGGATGAGTAGTTTTTATCAATTTTTTCAGTAGAATTCACTCATCTCACATTTATTCGAGGAATAATATACATTTGAATTTTAATTTTTTGATAAGCATTTTCTTAGAAAAAGTTACTAAAATATTAATCCAGATTCCTCTCGATATAATCTTTGAATTTTTCACGTGTATATCATGCTAAAGATAATGTTGGTTGAACTTTGGAGCCCAATTTAGTTAAAGCCCATTGGCCATTGCCTAAAGGTTCTCCACCGAAAGTCAAATCTTCTTTATGAACTGGGGATGGCTTCAAGCTACCTCTTGAGTGCACACTTGTAAAGGATTCGTTTTCAACCATCGTGAAAACGATGGTAGAGTTGGACCATGCTCCTTTTAAGTTATATGAATTTTTTTTTTTTAAAAAAAAATTACGATCAAATTAGACTCATCCTTACATAAAATTATTTGTATTTATAATCATCGACTAATAATTTGTATAAATAAATTGGAGAGTTAACAGGGAGAATGAAACCTAACATTCAAATTTATAATTCATCTCAAACTAACTTTACATTATTGAACAGAGATTCAAATTATATCTATTACAGTTTTATTTAATGATAGATCACTTATTATTAATGAGTGAATGACTCATTTATAAATAATAGGTTCTACTTAATTTTATGATAATTGATATATCATTAAATAAAAATGAGTGAAAAAAATAAGAGTTTTTTGGGTGTGAGTACAATTTTTTAAACTTATTTGAGCAAAAGTATATGAATAAGTTATTTACTCTATTAAGTACAATTTTTATAAAGTTTTTTGTGTTTAAGTACAAAATTCAAATGAATTAAAAATCTTTTTATCTAAACACCCTCCGTTAAATTATGCAGTCATCATTGATAATTATTTGAGGAAACAAATATGTAAAAATCAACAATAGTAATAAGAGATAAAATAGGGGCATTAATGATCAAAACCCTTCTCCTTCGGCAACAAGATTTTATGGCAATGAGATTTGATTAGAATTCCACAAATTATATGTGAATAAATACTGAATTTTCCCACAAAAAAAAAAATATTGGCCAAGATGTTTTGTTAGATATTATGTATTGTTCATTGTTGGAATGTAGTGAAAAAAAAGAACTTTTTTGTTTTTTTCAACTGTTTTTTAATTGGTGTAATTGTTTTTTAATTGGTATTACTATTTTTTTAATAGGTGTAACTATTTTTTAATGAGTGTAACTATTTTTTTAATGAGTGTAATTATTTTTAAATGAGTATAATTATTTTTTTAATAGATGTAGCAATCACAGTCTCATACAATTGTTAAGACATGATGATGTAACTCAACCACCATGAAAATGGTAGAGTTGGACCATGGTCCTTTTTGTTATATGAACTTTCTTTTTAAAAAAAAATTTACAATCAAATTGGACTCATCCTTACATAAAATTACTTGTATTTATAATCATCGACTAATAATTTATATAAATAAATTAGAGAGTTAACACGGAGAATGAAACCTAACATTCAAATTTATTATTCCTCTCAAACAAACTTCACATTACTGAACAGGGATTCAAATCCTCTCAATTGCAGTTTTATTTAATGATAGATCACTTATTATTAATGAGTGAATGATTCACTTATAAATAATAGGTTCCACTTAATTTTATGATAATTGATATATCATTAAATAAAAATGAGTGAAAAAAATAATATAATACAATCTCTATCTCTGAACAGTCATGATATCTTTGGATGATTTTTTTTCTTTTTCAAAGTGAAAGATACTTCCCCTTTGTTTATCATTACTTTAGAAATAACTTTTTAGCACCATATCCAAAATTAGTTATGTTTATCAATTTTTCTTTATTTAACTTGTGGCCTTGTACACATTATCATTGTGTTTAATTTTAGAGTGCGATCAAAGGAAAATAAAAGAGATATGAGAATTATAAGGAATAAATTATGAAGAATTATATGTAATTAAAGACAAAAGTGGGTAATTATGATAGTTAAGAGTATTTTTAAGTCTTACTTAAATCTTGACTCAAATTTATATTAGAGTAAAATAGGCAAAAAATAAGTTATAATCTTTTATTCAAACTCATACAAGATGAAACGAGATTCAATTTTTTACTCACCTTTAATAGTTAGATTTCACACTTCTTTAGAGATTCAATTGTCATATTTTACCGTTCTTCAAATTTGAGTTCATATCTTTAATGGTAAGATTTCACACTTCTTTAGAAATCCAACAATTAAATTTCATTATTGTTTAAGTTTGAGTTTGTTCTCATTTAAATTTGAGTTTGTCTATTGATATATTTTGTATCAAATTAATTTTTTTACTTAAATATTAACTAAAATTTAATAAAAACTTAAGTCAAAATTAGAGATAATTTCCCATAAGAAAAGAGGAGAATTATTATAAGTATTTTTAAAAGAGAATTATAAGCAAGAATAAGTAAAGATGCGTGTAAACTGATTCGAATATTCTTAATTGCAATATTAAAAATATAGGGCTAATCACAAATTGCACTTCAAAAAATCTCTCGAATCTCAATTTATATGCTCAAAAATAAAAAATCTCAATTTGTATTTTCAAAGATATAATTTATATTAATGTGCACTTGAAACTAATAGTCATCAGTTTGTCGTTTAAACTAGTTGGATAAGTTACACCTAAACACTTTTAAGTTTGTTACTTAATCATTTAGACTCATTCACATTTAGAATATTACTCTTACACCTCTTGACGTTTGTGCACGTGTAACACATAACTTCTTGTCGTTCATATTTATTAATATAACGGTTAAAAAACATGATTTCATTATAGTAGAAAATTATAATTTTCATACTATCTTTTATTTTATAGGTCTGTTATATTCTAATGTTCAAAATCAAGTTTACTATTTGAATGCCTAATATAATGTAAGTATTTATATGATATTCTTTATATCTAATGCAATACATCACTCGAACAAAATTATTTAAACGTCTAATTGAGAGAATATTTTTAGTCATATTTGAATTCTCTGGGGATGTAGGTATAATATTTCAAATATGAAGGGTCTAGGTAATTAAGTGACAAACATGAAGAGATCCATGTATAATTTATTCATTTAGTTTTAGACGTCAAACTAATAGCTGGTAGTTTTATATGTGCATTGATACATATTTATATTTTTGAGGATATAAATTAATTTTTTAATCTTTGAAGGTATAAATTAAAATTCAAATGATCTTTTAAAATATAATTTGCAATTAACTCATATCTATATCTATATCTATATCTATATTTTTATCTATACTACTCCTAAAAATAGCTTAACACAAAAAACATTAATTTTTGTTTTTACCCTTAATAAACTCAAAAAAGACATTTGTATTAGCCCATTCAAATTTCTAACCGATGAGCCTCGTTCAATTAGGAACGTAATTACAAATTTATCATTGATATTTTATATTTCATTTATACTGTAACTTATAAGGACATTTTTATCCTTGATCTAACGTCCAACTCTACGGACATTTAAGTTTAAAATACTAAAAATTCTGGAAAAATACTTTAAGTGGAAACCCTTTCACGTGCCAAGAAACTGTAACGTGTTTCATATAAATGGCTTTAATGAACCAACCTTCCAGAGTTCAAGGAGTGAAGGATCAAGGGCTTGAAGCAGCGACCCTTTCATGTGCCAAGGAGTATTCAAGGTTCGAAGGATCAAGGGTTAAGAAGCAAAAGAGCTTTTGAGTTGACAATGAAGATGATCTGCTCCAAGCCTCCACTGCCTTTCTATATACTAGCTATTTCAGAAACTTTGAGTTTGGAGATGGATGATGAGTCTGTAAAGCTTATCATGAGAACAAGCCCAGCTAGGTATTATTCTACCATGTTTTCCAATTAAAGTCAATGTTCCAGGATTGTTTTGTGCTTCTGGTGAGATTATACATGTTCATAATTTAGATCCTTGTCCTCTAAAAGATAGTTTCAATTTCTTCATTCAACTACTAAATCGTTAGTCATATAGTTCCATGAAAACTTTCTGGGTTGCTCCTCTTCTCGGTATCACGGTTGGGTCATTGGATCTCATTACCGTGGTTCATAGTTGTTGAGTGTGGGTTTTATGTATAGTCCAAGTTGTTTGATCAACTTGACAAGTCTTTTCTTTTATCTTGTCTTCCTCTCAAACTTTTGCTTTTTGTTGCCCCACCAAGACTATTAAGTTCTGTCTTATGTATTGTACAAAAAATCAATATTGGAGAGTATTAGCCAAATAATTCACTTTGTGTGTCTTTTTTGTACTTTAGTTATGACAAATAATATTCAAGATTATAGATTAAAATTGCCCACGTACAACTTACGTGTGCAACAATTGGTATATAGATTTTGGACTAAAATGGAAAAGATGCTTTACCCTAGTCCTAGTGGCACAATCGACGTCATGCACATATAAAAACTCGTGTAGCACTCTGGGATCTATAAACTATCTTGATTCTCGTTAACTGGTTTGAAGAACACTATCAAGGAGACTCCACCGTTCTTTCAAGGTCAATCAAGGGCTCTTTTCAAACTTTGTCGCCAAACATGCCAGGTCTCTCTCTCTTTCTCTCTGAGATGTTGACAAGAAAAAGGCTAGATATTATGCTTTTAATATTTTAGTATCACTACCGGATAGAATTGTTTTTGGGATCAAAGCGAAATCTTGGGTTTTAGTATTTCTTGTTGAATTTGTAATTTGGGATGATGAATGAGAGGTTAGGGATGAGTTTTGCTATTTTTAGCTTCAATTTAGTTCAATTGAGAGACAATAGATTAAGATAGTTTAGTCATATTTGACGGAGTCAATAGTGATAGAATTTTTCTTAATAGTGTTAAGAATAAGGTGGACTTAAATTAACATTAAATAAAATAATAAAAAAATATATGAAAATATTTACCTTAAATAAGTGTATAGTGTATAACTGAAATAAATGACGAAGACAGATTTGTATACGAAATAATTGGGACATATGGTTTGGTTTGGTGATAAGACTATTGATTTTTGTTGTATAAAATTTCAAGTAGAGTCGAATTTAGGAATATTTGGAACTAGATTTTATGGAATTTAATAAAAGTGAAGACTACATGCATTATTTGGGAGTTTTTTCTTTGAAACATAAGTTTTGCTATATCCAGACTTAGACTATTATTTTTTTTGAAAATTTCCCATTGGAGTCGAATTTAGGAGTATTTAGAACTGGGTTTTATAGAATGTTCATAAAAGTGAAAAGTATATTCTTGATGGAGTTTCAGTGGTTCTTTAAAGTTTCTGATTTTTTACTTTTATGTGAACAAGGAACATCTAGATTTTGATGTTGAATAAGTAGCTACTGTGCATTGTTCTTTAAACAAATTGGGAGAATATAGCAATTTTGAACTTTTTTTTAAAAATTATGTTTTGTAGAAAGAGATAACTGTTAATTAATGAATTTGTGAACTTTTACTCCCACATCACGGCTCGAGATTATGTAACTTCAGGTTAACTTACAGTCATTCATTTCGCATTTGGACGAGAAATAAGAGGAGCCTACGAAGTTGTTTATTGAGAGTCTACATGGGAAGGTTTCTATCAACTGTCCAAACTCCAGAGTGCTAGATACTTGGTGATATTCTTTAGAGCATACTGAAATGTATTTGTCAAGGTGATCATTGTTTAGCAGAGCCGCAGAGCATCTATTTTTTTAATTTTTCCCCATCTAGTACTATGTTTCTCTTTATATCTTGTGTCATTGTTCATGTTCTTTTTAGCTCTTGGGTACAAGTTTCTACCAACCATTTAAAGTTTCAGGAACTTAATAGTCAATTGCGATAGCATGATGTGTTGGAAAACTCAAACTTGTAGGTTTTCAGTTATCTGCGCAGAACTGTAGATGTTACAATAATTGTTGAATTGGTTGTTTGTTTCTTTGGTTTCTTAGGTTCTATTTTTGAAATCATAAAATTGAAACCCTCCTTTTCCAGGGGATTCCTAAACCTTTTTTTTTTGGCATTTGCTTTATTTCTTCATGCAGATAACGAATTTGCAATATTGGTAAAAGATGAAACTTCAACTTATCAGCCACCAGTATTGGTAAAAGATGGAACTGCAACTGATCAGCCACCAACTTTGCTAAAAGATGGACTTTCAACTGATCAGCCACCAACTTTGGTAAAAGATGGAACTTCAACTGATCAGCCACCATTGATCAAGCTTAGGCACTGGCAATCGTGGCTTATGATGGCTCTTAACATATTTTTCCTTCTGGCTGGTCAAGCTGCTACCATTCTTCTGGGAAGATCTTATTATGATCATGGTGGAAATAGTAAATGGATGGCTACCCTTGTTCAAACTGCCGCTTTCCCTATCCTTCTAATCCCATATTTTCTTTTGCCTCCTCCCACGAGCCTTCAAGTGTGTCTCATCCACCTGCTCTTAAAACTGTATCCTTAGTCTACTTCGTTCTTGGTGTTGTCATTGCAGGGGATAACATGCTGTATTCCGTCGGACTACTGTACCTATCAGCCTCTACTTATTCTCTCATTTGTGCAACCCAGTTGGCCTTTAATGCAATTTTCTCTTTCATCATTAATCATCAGAAATTTACTGCTCTAATTCTCAATTCTGTTGTTGTGCTTTCATTATCTGCTTCTCTTCTTGGTGTCAATGATGATTCTGATGGACCTTCAGGTGTTTCTAATTCGAAATATATCCTTGGATTTCTGTGTACCCTTGGAGCTTCAGCTCTTTACTCTCTTTTACTTTCCCTAATGCAGCTTTCATTCCAGAAAGTTTTGAAAAAGGAAACTTTTTCTGTGGTTTTGGAAATGCTAATTTATACATCAGCTGTAGCCACATGTGTCTCTGTTGTTGGCCTTTTTGCAAGTGGGGAATGGAGAACGTTACATGGAGAAATGAATGGTTATGGTACGGGGAAAGTTTCTTATGTGATGACATTGGCGTGGACTGCGGTGGCTTGGCAGGTTTGCTCTGTTGGTGTTGTAGGCTTGATTTTTGTGATGTCTTCTCTTTTCTCGATTGTTATTAGTACTCTATCCTTGGCTCTTACTCCTATTGCTGCTGTGATTGTGTTCCATGACAAGATGAATGGGGTAAAGGTAATTGCTTTGCTAATGGCTCTTTGGGGTTTCACCTCTTATATTTATCAGAACCATCTTGATGATATTAAGGAGAAGAAAGCACAAGCTGATGTTAATGGCGCCCCTGATGGTCCTTCTTGTCAATGACTGTGTGGGAGTATTTTGGCATTTTTTTGGTTACTGTTGTATCTATTTTGAAAGTTGTATTATTGATCTGGTGACGATACCTTTTCTGGAACTTTACTGTCCAGTCCCATTAGTATCTTTACCCTGCCTGTCGGTTATGGGATTAATGGTTGTCCTCGGGAAACAAAGACGTTCCATTGTGTCTTACATAGCATCATTGTTGGGTCCATTTTCTATTTGTTGGAGTTGTGATGGGCGTGGTGCTGTTTAGAGAGCAGGTTTATTTGAAGCAACAGGTATACATTACAATCACTCGTTCTGTAGACTCATAGTTGCAACGTAAACGGCAAACACACAACGGGGTTTTATGCAGCTAGAGAGATACAAACTCAGGACATTGCCGGTCTGCAACTCTTCCCTTGTCCCTTGTTTGATTGTTGAACCAACTCATAAGGGTTGAGTAGGTTCTTTTCGTTTTAATTATTGTTTGCACATTTTGTTACAGTGTTGGAGCATATTTGGAAGCAATTTATCGGGAGGACAGCATATAGTTTGAATGGGGAATTCTTGTTGGTTGCCTACAGTTGGTTTGTTGGATCATATTTATGTGTTTGTTTCTTAAAACTTCAATTTTTGTTGTTTTAAGCTATTTAGTGGTTTGATTTTTAGTACACTCAAAGTTCGTATCCGGTGAATGAGATTTTTGCTTATAATTTTTAGAGAGGCTGTTGTACAATATACTTCGAAATGTTTTAAAAATACATTAGACCCCATAATATTCAGTATTAATAGGTATTTTTATACCATTTAAACATCGGTGGTTGAAATATATATTTCAGTAACGGGTTTCAATTCAACACTAAAAACCAAGTTCAATGATAGAGAACCATGTTTTACCAGTTTTCAGGATTTTTGTTTCGTACATATTGTCATCCACAATAAATCAAGAATACTGATTCAGTACTTAGCACATTTGAAAACGGGTCTTAACTAATATTTGAGTTTTTTTCACAGGTTTTGATCCAACGATTTCAAAGGGCATCCTTGTTTTTCAACCTTGGTTGCGAAATTGATGAATATAATCTCTTTACTTGGGTAGCAATTGCACCCATCTACAGTGATTCAAGTTTGAAAATGAGCAAATTTCTTGTATATCGATCGGAGTCCATTCACATAAATGTGAAAGGTTGAGACGTGTGCGGAACTTTGAATTCTCATTGAGGTGTGCATTGGTCGAATCACAATTGTTCGTGAGGTCCAGTGGATTAACTTTATCGAGCTTGCAATCTTGGGGTTATCTCTTTCTTTTTTGACAAAAACCTTGATATTTTTTAGGGGTAGTAATTTTTGGTATAGCATAAAAACACGACTTGAAATTGACACGAAATTAATAGGTTAGGGTTGATCATTTATCGACATGAACCAGTAAATGACACGACCCTTGAACACGAATAATAAATGAATCGGGTTAATGTCAAACACAAATAACACAAAATTGACACAATTAACATATTTAACAAGTAATTATAGGAATAAAATGTCAATTTTTTGTTATTTTTAATCACGTAGTGGCATAATTCTTATACAAAAAAGAAATATTGTTACTCATTTTTGTAATTATATTTATTAAATTAATTTTTAGTTTATAAAAAAAATATGAGTGTGCATTCGATTAAGTCATAATGTAATCTTAAACTTACATCTTAACGCTAAATATTTGATTCATAGGTTACATGGATCAACACGAACAAAACACAAAAATAAACATGTAAGATTGACGCGAATTAGTTAAGGTTAGCTAGTGATCGACACAAACTCGTAAATAACACGAAAGTAATATGCCTAGCATGGTACGATTATCACCTCTGATATTTTCGGTAACCAAACTAGGCATTACCCAAAAACAAAACAATTTGAATTCATAGCATTGTCAGCTTGTTGAGTTGAGCTGGTCAAAGCTAAAGCTGAATAAGTAATTATTTTTATAAATATCTTAAAACCAATAAAATATAGAATGCCTAGCTGTTTATACGTTTCCCATTTATTTTATTTTTTTTCTTCAGGAATGTTTGTTTATACGATTTATCTAATGCAAGAAACGATTTTTTTTAATTCATACAAACTTCTTAGGCTGATATATACATTGTTCAAACGTAAAAATCTCTATTTGTTTCTCAAGTGACATGACCTAATGGATAATATCAGATTTGAATTTTGAAAGAGATTTTTGATTGAGTTGATGTATGTTTTTTATTGCTACAATGTATTTAGAATTGCGTTGACTATTTTCTCAAACTCAATGTCTGTCCACCGTAGTTTAGAACATGTTCTCAAAGAGATAATGGTGACTAACCCTTAAGGGGTGTGAAAAGATATTGCACTTATGATTTCTGGGTTATCAAAGGAAAGACACAAACACTGAACCACACTGAACCACCCTCAAGTATTAGAATAACTCCAAGGGGGGTGGCAACCCCATATGCCAACCCAAATTCAAATTTTTGGGCTCCAAAGGGAGTGGCATATGGGGTTGTAAAATAGGATCAAGGCTATTGGGGTGGCATTTTGGGCAACTCTGGAAAGAGAAAGTGAGAGGTTGCAAATTGATTGATGAATATAGATCCGTTAGATGAATATAGATCCAACGATTCATATAGATTAATAAATAAAAATATGAAAATGACACCCCATTTTAACATCTGTCATTGGAGCAAATTTATAATTCAGAGGTGTCAAAATACTGTTTAAGATTGTAAATGAGTACTTTGGCACCCCAAAATGATAACTCTCTTTGTAGTTGTTCTCAGTAGATATATGTAATTTACAAGCAATAACATGCATCCCGAGTATACATAGGAATCACGAGTTCAAAAACAGCCTGGTCATGGTGGGGTGCATTGTTTTTTTTTTTTTTCCTACCATATATTCTCATCCACTACTAGAAAAAATGTTTTTATGGCGGTAAAGTGCTGTCATAAAAAGTTTATTTCCCGTCACAAATACTTTTTGTGGCGGCATTGCCTCACCATAATAAATGTGGTCTCAAAAGATTTTTACTGCAGAAACAGTCTGTCTCAAATAGTATTTACGGCGGCAAGATCCTGTCGTAAATAAGTTGTCACAAAAATCCGACACTTTTGTTTTTATCACGGCAGCAAAACTGCTGCCTCAAATACCATATTTGACTGTCGTAAAAAATAAAAGATATATTTATGACAGCAACGATGTCGTCACAATTTTTTTTTTATAATTATTATGGACTATTCGTAACCAATATTATATACCCGATGCATATATGCACTCCATACAATTTATTTTTTTTTTGGTGGGGGAGGGGGGAAGGGGACTTGAACCATTGATCTCAAGAAATCAAAGTTTTCACAATGTAAGGAGTACCATTAGACGAAAGACTCATTCGTATCTATACAACTACCCAATTTAATATATAGATAAACACAAAAATAAATATAATCAACATTTCAAAAAAACATAGTAATATTTTCATATTAAAAAAAAAAACAATCCCACAAGTTAAACAAAATGTAAAATATGCACTTTTATAAAACATAATGATATATGAATACAAGAAATTAATGCAAAAAAGTTGAACATCCTTCCCAAACCATCTACTCTCTTAGTGACATCTGAAAAAAATATAAAATTATTGTTACAATACTGAAATAACATTTATATACATATATACAATAAAGAACTAAAAAAAGTTAGAATATACATCAACAGAGGGCCACGCAATATTTCTCTGAACGACTTGTCAAATTATGTAAATGGTATATAAATGAGTCATATCGTATACATTTCTTCTAACTGATTTTCACTAATACCTGATTCGTTTATAATTGTATCATGACGGGTCCACTCGTTTACTAAACAAGTGGCTTAAGGAAGACTCAAACCTATTAATTTTATGTCGTGTCATATTTTGGCACCCTTAGTTTTGATATAAAAACTTGACTTTGTAAAGTTTAATTTTTTTATCGTTGAATTAGAAATTGTCTTTTGATGTTAAATTACGTAATTTTATAAAATATTACTTGTAACATGAAAAATAGTTGTGGTCATTACAAATTTTTTTTTAGAGATTTTCTTCTTTAAACTAAAAAATATTTTTTGATTTAAAACAACATTTTAATGTTTTATGAAATATTATATACGACAGGAAAAATAGCTGCCATAAATATAATTTTTTTTTTTTGAATTTGTAAAATATTATTTGAGACAGGAAAAACAGATGTCTCAAATACAAAAATTTCTTTTTAGTTTATAACACTATTTTCGGCAGAAAAAATAGCTGCCACAAATATTAACACAAACACGCTTTTTGTGACGATAGACACAACCGTCACAAAAAATTGTCTTAAATACATCTTTAGTGACGACAAACACAGTCGCTATAAAATATTTGTCGCAAAAAACCCTGACATGCAAGGTCATTTTTTGTGTCATGGTACCCAATGTTGGCGTCGGTGAGTATGTCATGCCATGTCAATTATGGCTTTCTTCCTTGTCATTACAGAACTTGGTTCCAAGAGGAATGGAGGTACTCCAAAATTTCCTTCTGATGAACATGACAATCGTACTTTACTAGAGTTTGTAAGCCTTAAAATTTAATGTATTAACAGGCTTAAATCAGGAGTAGCTTAAAAATTTATGAGTTAACAGCCTAAAATCAGGAGCAGATATTATGGGTAGCTACAAAGCAAATGTTCAATTGCTAAACTGAGCAGGCTAAGCATGAACCGTTTCGGTCGATTCATGTAGACAAAAGGATAAAGTAAAAGGATTTTGGAAGGTGGTGTTGTTTTTTATTAAAGATCATTAGGCTCGAGTGTGTGAAGAGTGTTGATGCACTGTGGCACTTTATCATTGCACATTATTTCCTTGATTTTTGCAAGTTTTATTCAGTTTATTTTCTTTTGTTTTTTCCTCTTTGCTTTTTGTATCTTATAGAGGACTTCTTGTTCTCTCATTGACTTTTTGCCTTTGACACATTGATATTTCTAATACTACAATTTCGTTTACTATAAACAAAAAAAAAAAAAAATAGAGTAGACAAATAACTTGCAGATGTCAGAAAGAATGGGGGTTGGGGGAGTGTGTAGGCTATTGGTTAACGTACATCGTGGTCAGTTCTTGTGAAATCACTTTAGGAAATCAAGATTTATTAAATCATATCGTGAGAGATATATGTGTCAGAATTTAGAATCTTTTCATTTAGTGAGAGATTTATGGATCATAATGGAATTTTCATACCTTACTGCTGTTGCTGGACATGCATGAATTGGAACTGCCCACAATCGTGACCCAGCTGCCTGGAAAGGGCTTATTACTAACCACTGTGCATCCTAGTGGCCAAGAAATTGTTATTGGTGAAACTATGCGGGTCATCTATTCTTAACCTTCGAGCATATTGTGTATTCTCAATGTTAGGACATGGCTTAAAATTGCACAGGTCGCTTCTGCATGGGGTTGACCTTATTGTATGTTTTTTCCCGTTAGGCTCACTATTGGCATCTGCGGTTTATTTGTAGGCAAGTCTCGACAGAGGAAGGAGAAGCCAAAGCTCATGACCTAAATGTTTTGTTTATTGAAACCAGTGCCAAGGCCGGCTTCAATATAAAGGTAAGCTGACATGGTCTTTCCTGAGATTTCCCATTTCCTAGAAATAATTTTGGCTCCAGGTAATGGAACGACTATGTGCATAAAGTGGTGAGCTTCATCAGCTCTCTCTCTCTCTCTCTCTCTCTCTCTCTCTCTCTCGTGTGGGTGAGGTTGAGTTGTTTTTTTTTGTTGGGGGTTGGTTTAGGGGGGTGGGGGGAGGTTAAGTATTTTCAATGATGTATATGATGTGGCCCCTGGCGTAAGAAGGGACCATTGCCAAGTCTATTAGGGACCATATTTTGTGAATAATGCTATCCTCAATGAACAAGAACAAAAGTTTTCCAAAGATTTATTGTATCTTTTTCCCTGATTGGTCTGTGTTGAGCTTGAATTGCACTCTAGACAAATGACCTACCCTTATAATTGGCAGAAGTTGATGATGCTACTCATATTACTATATAATTAAATTTATTGTCAATTTCACCCTTATTTGAAGTTTATTTCCCTCTTTTTCTCCTTCCTGGGTCTGGCTTCGTCTCAACTCTGCTGCCATGGCATCCCACCTCCGTGCATCACCACCATGGGGCTGCTTGCTGTTGCCACTGCATTTTCTCCATAATCTCCATTTTGGTCTACCCCTCCCTCCATTGAAACCTCAGGTGTATAGTCACTTTCCACCTGCATGCTCAACTCACCCACCATGCATACATCTGTGTGTGTGTGTATATCCCGGGAACCTAACCCGCAACTTCCATAACTTCTTGCCCCAGCACGATCGAACCCCACCATAATTAACTCTTCCAACTTGAATAATTGTCTTTTAAAAGAAAAAAATTGTCTTGCATTAGTTGACAAATAATCTTTGCAGGCACTATTCCGGAAAATTGCGGCCGCCTTGCCCGGCATGGAAACACTATCTTCAGCAAAGCAAGAAGACGTGGTTGACGTCAATCTCAAATCTAGTAATCCAAATGCATCTCAGTCACAACAAACGTCAGGAGGATGTGCCTTGATGATGCACAAAATGGGAGCTTTTGACCCATCCCATGGAGTTTTAAAAAAAAATTCTCAAATAATGATCGATTTTAAAGTAATTCTCAAACTCACGTTATTTTTAAAAATGTCAAATAGATTGACGTTTTTAACACAAAGATTGTGACCCACATTCACCTTAAACACGTCAAACGGATTGACATTTTTATTTAATGTCAAACCGTTTGACGTCTTTAAGGTCATTCGAATTTTTATTTCCCTATTCTTTCCCTCTCTCTTATTCCCTTATTCCCTTTTTCCCCCAAATTTTCTTAGCCCTAAAATCGGTTAGGTGAACCAGCCCACCACTACCGATACACCATCCCATCTACACAAGCACCTATCTACACCACCCCTAGTTCACCACTACCGATACACCATCCCATCTACACAAGCACCCATCTACACCACCAGCCTGGGCTAGTGACAATTATTGACCAGGAGCCACCACGAGCAACCACGAGCCACCACCAACCACCAACAGCGACCACGAGCCACTATGAGCCCCCACAAGCGACCAGAGGTTAGTGTACTCCATATTTTTTTTAATTGTAAATTTAATTTTATTTATTTGTTGTAATTATCTGTTGAAAAGTTTAATTTTATTTGTTTGTTGTCATTTTCTATTAAATAATTATTTGTATTTGGTTGTTGTAATTTTCTGCTAAATATTCATTTGTATTTGTTTGTTGGAATTTGATAAATGGTAAGGCTTGGGCAATGTTGGAATTATTTGTATTTGGTTGTTGTAATTTTCTGTTAAATATTCATTTGTATTTGTTTGTTGGAATTTGATAAATGGTAAGGCTTGGGCAGTGTTGGAATTATTTGTATTTGTTTGAGACTTATATTAATATCGTTAAGTGATCAGCAGAGAGGTGGAGTTGATCACCAATAAAATGACCAAGATGGCTGACTGTTCATTTGATCGCCAAATTTCTGCCTCCATTCAGTTAGTCTAATGTATGAGACTCTCACCGTAATGGGTTTTGAGAAAGATTAAATATATGTAATCTCATCCCTGTATACAAAGACTCTATTTCTTTATTTCTATGACTTTCTAACTCTAATGACATTCCTCATTTAGATGGAAATACACACAGTCTTCTATGCTTAAGTTTACCGGTCATTTCTCTTTATGGAAAGTGGAAGAAAGTAAGTGAAACAATTGGTATGATGGATCTGCATTCCAATGCTAATTGATTTATCAATGTAAGCGATCAAATGCATGTTGCACCAACAAACTCCCTAACATTTGTCATTTCTGTTACAATATATTTTTCTTTTTGTAATGTTATGCTAAAGTTTATTGATTATTACAACAAACTTGATCAATTCATGGAATATGGTGATGATGTATATGCCGCACTTCATTAATAAATGCTAATATATCAAACTTTAATTAGGCAATGAAGAAAAAAGTTGTTGGACCACATAATATTTGAAACTCACATTCTTGTATAAAGATCATACATATTGCACAATACTTTGCCTCAAATGAGATATGTGAGAGGTAAGTTTAGGTTTTGTTCTCCAATAATTGATGACAACACTACTGTATCATCTTCGCCTAAAAATCTAAACTTAGAAAAATTTCCATTAAAGCCAACACTAAAATGGTAAGGTTTGTTGCCACTTAAATACAATATCCATATAGAAAGCATTGTAGTGAAGGTATAAGAATAGGAAAACAACTAATTTACCCTTATGCTTTTCTAGATCTGGGATGGATTTGGAGTGGGCTAGTTTTGATGAAAAACAATAGAACAATAACTGATTTATGAGGCTTTTTAAGACACCCTCTTTTGATGTGAGGATTGATATCGTTCACCTAAACCATCAACCTATAAAGTATGAGAATTAAGATGGTTGAAGATCATAATCGTTATTAGACTACAAATCTTCTAATGACTACATAATATATCAATCTATAAAAGAAAAATCGCTTTTCAGGGTTAAGGTGTTCAAGAAGTAACTTTTAAGTTATGAACATAGGAGTGCATATAAGAGTTGATATTTTTCTATCATCCTAAACTATATAGAATCTAACTTAACATTGGAGAGGCTTAGGCCAGCACCCAAGATTGTCGACGACCATTTTTTTGCATTAAAAATCTTCAAATAAGCCATGTCCATATCTACTGACACTCATAAATAAAACTTGCTAACAATTTTTTTTTTCAATGGATAAATATTGTAGGGTTAATAGTATTTTTTTTTCAATGTTTCTTTTACCTATTGGTTTATTACACGTATCTGCCCCTTACCCCTTACCTTGCTAACACTCCTGGTTACTTTTGGCCATTTGATTGTACTTGACAAATTTGACAGAATCTCTTCATATGGACTAATAAATTTTAAATGTTTCAGTCATTCTTTTCCTGAATTTTGGAATAGTCAATTATTCTGGGTACATCTGTTTGTACTTCACATAATTAACCCTACTTATAAATTTTTTTTGAATGATTCGAAATATCATGCATTACACCTGTTTCATCTTTGGGAGAATTGGAGAAATGATTGTGACAAAGCTATAATTTCAATTTACGAGAATAAAAAAATTCATATTAACTATATTTCATGTCTGTCTCTCTCAATCTTAATCGAAGTTCAGTAGTTATATCTCTTAGGCATCGAATACCACATTTACTTCAAAATAAGCTTGATGATTTTGAATCAAGCAAGTGACTCTAGGATTATTATCCTTCAATTGGATAGTCTTGATTGTCTTCTTGATAACATGTTTCACTTATGATTCAATAAATGATAACATGTTAGGAGAAACCCTTTTTTTGGGGATTATTTTTTTCAAACTTTCATATAAAGGTTGTACCTTCATCTTTCTTAGTATCATACAAGTACACTTCATCCTTGTAGGTTTCTTAATTGATAAATTCTTTTAGGTCGCATGCGGTAGATTCAAATGGGACTTTCATTAACCGTTGATCTGTTATTCTTCAAGTATTAATCGTTTTTATTTATTCCTAGGTTCTTATAAATTCAGAACTTATTCCACAACCGAAAGTAATTGAAATGGTGGGAAAACAAGTTACTGTTTTGCTATATTGGGGTGGACGAATGGTAAATGGATTGGAGAGTTTATCATACAGTTGTCCTCCCAAAGGTGGAATTGTTATTAATAGTGCTACACAACTGCCGAAGTTGTTGAGTAAAATTTAAACTGTAATGGGGTTGGACAGGACGCATAACAAGTTAAAGTTGACTTGTAGATATCCAATTACAGTTGAAACAGGACAAAGACCAAACATAAATACATATGTCGGTTTGGAAATTGTCAACGATGAACTAGTGACTTCTATGGTTAATGTGGTACTTGACAACCCCAGCATTGCTAGTGTTGTTTTGTCCGTGGAGACGGAGAACATCAATGCTGACATAGGCAGTAGTCAAACCGGAGAGTGCATAACAACAACTGTTATGTCTTACACTAAGTTGCTTAGGCGAGAGATGGGTCCATTGACATTTTCAACTTCTGGTGTGACGGATGAATGTTCAACTCCCGTTGGGAAGTAGGTAATGGATGAGTCTGGGCAGTACTTTTACACCCAACAAAGAACTGGAACCACTACATACGGTGGGAACTCAACCAACAATTCATTGAGTTAAAATTTTGAAATGGGTGAGGCGGGAATTCAGTTGGGTGAACAAGATGATGTCCATCAACTTATAATGCAACAATGCCCAATTCGAGAATTTGGAGAAATGTGTGCTAATGATCGGACAGATGTCTGATGATGACGATGAAGAAGAAGAGCTGGAAAAAGTAATGATTGATGACCCAGTTGACGAAGATGAGAATGGTGAAGACTTTGACGCTGCTCAAGTGGTGGAAATGCATAAGCCTTACTCTACCTCATTCACAACCACTGAATTTGGTCAGTATACTGAAGCAGATAGCTTTGTATCGTCAGTTGAACAGAATTTGTGGGATCCAGTGAAGATGGAGTTGGCGAAGGGTATGATTTTTAAGGATAAAGCTTCATTGATTAGAATTGTTAAATAGTATTCAATCAAGTTGAATCAGGATTTTATGGTGGTCGAGACGAGCACAATTGTGTGGGTTGTACAGTGCATCATGTACATGCAGTCTAACTACACTTTGAGACTGTGTGCTTATTTTAGGAAAAAATTAAAAATATTTTAGATCATGAAATTTGATTGACCACATACCTGCTTCTACCCTAAGATGAGTCGTGACCATCAACAGTTAGACTCTGACTTCATTTGTCATAATATACTGGGACTTGTGGGTGATACACCACAAATCAAAATGTCAACAATTCAGAAGAATATAAAAGAGAAGTTCAAGTTTGATATTTCCTATAAGAAAACATGGATTATAAGAAACAAAACAATTGCTAAGATTTTCGATGATTGAGACTCGTCATATGACATGTTGCCGAAGTTTTTGGGTGCCATCAAGAAGTATAACCTTGGCTCAATTGTGAAGTGGCAGTACACTTATGAAACTCCTGAATATAATATTTTTTTACGAGTATTTTGGGCATTCAAGGCTAGCATTAAAGGGTTTAAATATTGTCGATCTATTGTCAGTATTGATGGGACATTTCTGCGTGGAAAGTACAAGGGAAAACTGTTAGTTGTCACTGCTTTTGATTCTAATAAGCAGTTGTTTCCCATTTCATTTGCTATTGTGGAAGAGGATAATACGTTAAGTTGGGTTTTTTTCTTATATTACCTTCGGCGAATTGTTCTTAGACATCGGGAAGGGATATATTTAATTTCTGATAGGCACAAGGGGATCCTTGCTACTGTGAATAAGGAAGATTCTGGGTGGCATCCACCGCATGGTTATCATCGCTTTTGTCTTCAGCATGTTCCTAGTAATTTTAATATAGATTTTAAGGATGCGCATTTGTACGATCTTAAGTGGAGGGCTGGAAAAGCTAGACAGATTCGCAAGTTCGATGACTTGATGACCTAGATACGTAATGTCAAAGAGGAAACGTATATATACTTGACTAAAATACCATTGGACAAGTGGACATTAGCCCATGATGGTGGACAATGATATGACATAATGACAACCAATATTTTGGAGGTTTTTAATAATGTTCTCCAAGGTGGTAGGTATTTTTCCATAACTACTTGTGTGCAGTTGATATTTTATCGGGTCACTAAGTATCATTTTGAACGTCGAGACCAATTGGCAAAATGGAAAGAAAATGGGATGGAGTTTCCTAAGCGTGTTATGGAACGATTAAAACATGCACAACAAATGAGTTGTGTCCACGACGTAACGCCATTTCATAGGGAGCGTGGTTTTGCTGAAGTGCCAACTGTCGGTGGTCATAAGCAAGTTGTGTGTCTTGAAGATCGTTCGTGCACATACATAAAATGGACAATTTACAGAATTCTTTGCTCGTATGTGTTGTCTGTATGCTCTTATCTTCAGTTGCATTTTCATTCCTACATAGATATCATATTCATTATCGACACTTTGGAGAAAATTTGGGCTCCTGAAATGTTTCCTCTGGAGGATGAGCATTACTAGGA